TGGCCCTGGAGCCCATCGAGGGCCACCCCTACATCTCGCCCGAGGACATCATTCAACGGCCGAAGGTAGTATTCAGCGAAGGTACTGGTCAATACCATGTAAGCACCTCGCCCAAGCATTAATTGTAGCTTTGCTAAACATTGATAGATGTGGTGGCACGCCGACAACTCCACCTACGGAGAGCTTCTGCAAGGTCTTGCGGTCTCGGACAATATCACCGGCCCCTACAGCTTCGTCGATGCTACAGCGCCACTTGGCAACTGGTCACAAGACTTCGGTCTATTTGTAGACCAGAAAGACGGTCGAGCGTACTCGCTATACTCCAACGGCGACCGCAGGGAAGGACGTGACGTTTACCTCACTTCCTTCAACGAGAACATCACTGCTCTAGATGAAGTCGTTCATCGTTTCGACAAATACGACCTCGAAGCACCAACCATCGTGCAGACCGACAAAAGCTACTTCGCGTTGATGTCGCATAAGACGGGTTACCGCCCAAACAGTAAGCAGCTTCACTCACCGGATGTCTACATCATGTGCTGACCACTTCCAGACGTGGTTGCTTTCCGCGCCGACTCTCTTGCTGGTCCTTGGTCTCAGCCATTCATCATCGCACCGCTCAACACTCGCACATTCAACTCACAATCTGGATTGAACCTTCGGATCAATGGTACCAAGAAGACGACCTATCTGTACATGGGCGATCAATGGGACTCTATCAGTCTCTGGGAAAGTAGATACATCTGGCTACCGCTTGAGATTGATGAAGAGAAGAAGTCGGTTGAGCTCAAGTGGTACGACGTCTACGACCTCGACGTGAAGACCGGAGAAGTCACAGCCATCAACGGCACTACCTACTACGGCAAAGACGCCACCACCACCGGCGACGCCTACCACCAAGAAGCCACCTTCGGCAGCGACGGCGTCATCGTCACCGGCATCTACGGCAACGACAGCAAAGTCACCTTCTCCAACATCGAAGGCACCGGAAAGCCCCAGTGGGTCTCATTCTACTACCAGAACACCGACGACATGGGCTTCGGCGACCAGCCTGGCGGTTCACCCGATCGTATCAATGGCACTTGGCAGCTTCGCCGCATCTCGAGCGTTATTGTTAACAACAAGACGGAAGAGGTGGAGTCGCTGTACCAGAGAGATACGCACAAGGGTATTATCTTGAGCACGCCGCTTATGTTAAACTTGGAGGAGGGTAGTCATAACACTATTACTATTGGTGGGCTGGATAATGGGCAGGATGTAAAGGGCGCGGATATTGATCGTATTGTTGTGTACCCTCCGGAGGAGTAGTTTTCTTGAGAGACAGATACACTTAAAGAACGAAGAAGACCAGTGAAATCGCGCGCAATCTGTGTTGTGTTGGGCACTTTCATATGGATGCACGATACTGTAAGCGGGCTAGCGCTGTTTGCCCTCGCGCCTTCCACCTGCACTACCTAGGTACGCATTGCGTTGCTCTCTCACCTCGCCACATCTCTCAAACAACACTCACTCAGCTGTCTATATCAACGACAAACCCCGAGCTTTTTGCCATTCTACTCCATCATAGGCCTCTATCATCACCTCGCGATCTCCTCAAAGCGAGTGAAGGAAGCTTTCGCTCGCGCACCCGGGAGTCTACATCAATCGCCAACCCGAATCTTCGCACCTTTTCGGACCACCGTAGGCGCCAGATATCCACTAGCAGCTAGCCGCTTATATCAGCGACAACGCTCACCCGGGCAAGCTCCGCGCCTTTCAATATCACTGTAGGCTTCAACCGCATTCCCCCGGCCACCCACTCGCAGCTAGACGCCTACATCAGCGACAAAACTCAAGCTTCGCACCTTTGTGGACCAACGTAGGCTTCGACCGCATTCCTCTAGTCGACTCGGAATGTCTCTACTATCCCTACCCACGGAGATCATCAGCAAGACCTGTCGATACCTTGGCCTGGAGCGCGATGTAGATGGCTCCGTATACTACAATAACGATGACCTGCAGTCGCTCCGCCTCACCTGCCGAAACCTTCACGCCAAGACTACTTTCGACGCCGTGGTCAGGTACGGACTATTGCTAGAGGAGCTCGAGATATTCGTCGACTACAAGGGACTCTGCCAGCTATTGTACATAACTCAAATACCAGTTTTTCGCGACCGCATCAAGCGAGTGCTGTTCTATCATCCTAGGGTGACAAGCACGCCGGACGACTGCGATATTCTATGGGGATTGTCTCCGACCCGTGAAATGCGCCGCGAAGAGATTTCGACATACTTAGAAGTCCCTGAAGCAGTCGAACTGCTAGCAGCATGCTTCCGGAACTTGAAGCAAGCGACTTCTTTGGAGGAGATTCCAGTACGTGGTACGACCTTGCACCGTCTCATACATGCCGCTTCAGCGAGGAGCGGCTTTGCAAGGAAGAAGGCGGTCTTCACAGTACAGCCTGAAAACCTAAGTAACGCTGATCATCGTACTCTGATGATAAATCCTGCGGATTGCTCACCATACACCAAGGGTGTCGAGATCAGCACCCCGACCTTACATTACATGTTTCTACGTCCTGAGATCAAGCAGACAATACAGGACGCCAAAAGGTGGAACGAACATGGATATCATTTGAAGGGCTATCAGCCTGATCACACAAATCTGTCCCGACTTATCGCAAATCACAGTCAGATCGAAACCCTTCGTCTGGACGGGTGCGAGACCCATCCTCGCTTGAGATTCTGCGACGGCTGCCATGCAGTGTTTTCTAGGCACGTTGCTACTACACATTACTCCAACATCACCAGGCTGAGTCTCCACGCAATCTACATTAGCGGGGGTCAACTTCGACGTTTCATAAAGCAACACTCAGCCACGTTGAAGGAATTCGACTCCACATTCGTAACGCTAACGGACGGATCATGGCGCTCGATCGCCCAAGGCCTATACAAGCTCCCAAAGCTAGACATGCTACACTGGGCTCTTCTGTTCCAAAAGCATGCAGTACCTCGCGTTCAGAGTGACTCTCTGTTCGAGACAGAACTTAGACCATTCTGTCTCCATAGTTGTACTTGGGAGGGAGCCTCAAACGTTGAGTACTATCTACAGACCTTTGTGGATCACTTCTGCACGCGCAAGTACTACAAAAACGCCAGGGGAACTGGAAGTGGTATCACTGCTGCGAAGACACGACCAAACTTCCATGAGGCCATCTTGTATCGGTTTGCTGACGTGGTGATGAAGCCTGCTGGAATGGATTCAGCCTACGCGATTGAGAGATACGCGGAAGAGATACTGGACTAGTCATCTCATGTCAATCTAGGAAAAGCATGGAATGATCTAGAGCCTACATCGACGTTATGTTACCTGCTTTACATGTTTCCATGTTAATGTAGGCTGCAGACCTGTTCAGAGTTTTCTCAGGTTGGGGTGATCTGGAAAGAGAGGCACCAGACAGCTTGACATGAAGGACGGAGAAAGCAATAAATCGGTGGCTATCAGTTGAGCTGGGATGCGTAAGAAGACGCCACTATTCACGGACTTGTACTCTACTCGAGTACATATCATTGCTGGATCATGCCCTTTACAAAATAGAATTGTAGCCTCTGCCTCAAAGTGCGTCTTATTCTATAGCGTACATTTAGTTGAAAACAAACCTCCACATTAGTGCGCAGAATGATGGTGTTCAGATGTTCGTATCCACATTCAAGTGCGGTAGCGACACCCAATCCACGATAACGAAGTTTCGAAATTTGTCGCGACCTGCTCGAATTTCACCTTAGCCAACTCTTCAAAATTCAACAAGCAGATCCAAAAACCTCTTTGACGCGCGCGCGATGGCCCACCTTGTGTCGCACGGTGCGACAGTCGTGGAGCCTATGCAGGTCACTTCTCACCCTGCCGACCCGACCAAACCTTCCTTCTTAGAGCTGCCTGCCGAGATGCGAAACTCCATTTACGAGCTGCTGTTCAAGAATGACACTCCTGTCTTCTTACACAACGCTGACGCATTTTTTCCACGAGCACCGGACCTAGACGACTACGACGATGATGGGGGGCCACGCTGTCTGTGCGAATCCTGCCAATATGAAGGCATCTCGCATTACGAACGCGACCGTTCAGCATGGGTAGCAGCTATGAAAAACGACGCGGAGGATTTAAAATTCCTGGAAGCAAAATTTGCCCATGGCCTTTCGGATGGGCTCAGTATGCTCAGATCTTGTCGCCAGATTTGGTCCGAGGCAGCTGGAGTGCTCTACGGGCACAACACGTTCGCTTTCAGTCGACACACCGACAGACACGATATCAACTATCTTACAAACGAATATCGTGCATGGTTTGAACCAATGTTTTACAATAACGAAAGATACAACCAACTGAACTACTCTGCTCGATGGATGGATTCTATTGGAGATCACTACCGCTTCCTGCGCAAGGTGGTCATCGACACGGATGCCATGTGTCCATCCCATTGCCGGTGGGCGGCCGATTTCGATGTCCTCCCCCTCCTTCGCATCATGTGGGCGCATCCGGAAGCCAAATGCGAGATAGTCTTTGAGTCTACAGGAAGAGCGCTTTCTGCGCATATTCATAATGCAAGTTACCCTACAGCGGTCTCTGTAGATCTCAACACTCTTTTACATACTCTCGGAAAAGAAGATATGCTTGGACTAAGGCATGTTTCGCGATCGTTAGAGACTGTCGTGATTGAATTTGAACAAGTGGGACGACGATCTGAATGGCACTTCGTCAAGTACAAACGCTCGGGGCTGAGGTTCTTCACTATTCTGAGTAAAGGAGCAGAAGTCTCCTGGAACCCAAAAAAGCCGATAAAATCCCGCGCAGACCTGCCTAGATCGATTCGACAGATCATCGCTCGATATGTAGCACTTGGGCCCGAAGGCATCGTCGTGGATCTGACTGCGCATGTTACACACGGACTTGATCTCACCCTTCTCAGGATGGTTCCCTGTTCGGTAAAGTCTCTCATCCGACCAGGGTATTCGTTGACCCTCTCAATGACCAGTCAGGAAGCCGAGACAAGTTTCAAGAGATTTAGCGCACTCGACACCCTGCTCTGGCCGGAGGCCATCAACAACACAACTACCAGCTACATCGCCAGGGGCGAATTTGGGCTCACGAGCGGCCAAAGTATCAACCTCAACTTTATCCTGGATGACGACAAAGGTCTCGAGGATGTTAAGATTAACATGAGAGGTCTCGTGCGCTTCCTGAGCAGCATGTCCATACTCAAAGCCAACATGTGGTCGACCATCAAGATCATTATAAAGGACAACAAAGGACACCAGAAAGCATGCTCTGAAGTGCCAATAAAGAAGCTAAGACAAGCCGTCTTCCTCTTCTTCACCGACCTCCTCCGCGACAGCATCTATGCTCGTGAGCGCCAACAGCACACGCCTAACATGCGCATCAACGGTTTCGGCGCCATCCTCAAATGCATTGAGAAACCGCACGAGTTTCGTTGCACAAGAGCAACCCAATGGAAGTCCGACGTGAGCAGCAATGCTGTGCCTGGCTTTTCGGGAGGCCAGAAGTTGAAACTTGCTTCGGTGGCTGACGTCATTCGGCGGCGCGCAGAGCTGATGGACTTTGGGTGTCCGATAGATAGGCGCGGCGAGTGCTTGATACATGCTTGGGACGATTTGAGGCGGTGTGTGGAGGTTGGATGGGGCAGCCTTGATGATGCGCTAAAAAAAATGAGGCGTTGAGGAATTGTGAGTGGGTCCATGCTCCGGGGAGACTGCGGGTGACATCAGGGGTTCTGGACGCGCCATCGAAGAAACGCGATAACCTCGTCGTGATACTGGTGCTGAGATGGTCTACAGAAATCGGTGGAGAATGCAGCGATAGTTAGGTATGAACACAGAGTAGCATCAACGATACTAGCAGCATCATGGGCCATCGCTGGAAGTTTGCACGCGTGAGTTTCGCGTTTCCTTGCTAACCTATAACAGCCTAGCTTGAATACCGTGCCGCCCCTTCCAGTTGTCTTCAGACCGCCATCAGCTCTGTCTTGCCTCGCAACACCCATTTTTCTCGTTAATATCGTTTCGCACACATCTTTCCATACACTGCCATGGAAATTCCAAAAGGCTGTTCGGCTCCTCTAGATCCGTCCGCGCCGTCCTTCCTGACGCTACCGGCGGAGGTACGCAATACCATCAACGAATACGTGTTTGTGCTGCCACGACGACCTGGAATACGCATTCATAACTCCGACTTCTACTACGACCGACGGCCTTATGAGATTCGTGCAGACGATGAGTCTTTCGCCGATGACAGCTCAGAAGATGACAGAGTGGGCTATGGTTCTCGGAAGGGCAGGCATGTTCCCCGCAGCCAGAAGAATTGGCAGAAGAGGCAAGACTCTGAATGGAAAGAAGCGCAGGGGTTCAGGTATGAAGCATCTCTTGGGATCGGCCTGCTGAAGTCTTGTCGCCAGATGTATCACGAAACGGTTGGCATCTTGTACGCCAACAACACCTTCCTCGTTACCAGAGTTGGTCAGAGGTGTGACCGCGAAGCAATCAGGCGGTGTCAAGCCAGCGATCGGGGTGACTACCACCAGATCAATTATGCGCCAATATGGCTCGCCTCACTTGGCTCTCAGATGAGGTTGATAACAAAGGTAGTGATCGACATCTCGACAGTCTGCGGTTGGGGATGTGACCAGGTTGAATTGGACCAAAACCTACTGCCGTTACTAAGGATAGTCTGGAATGGAGACCTACCACGCTGTAGCATTACCTTCGCCCACCCTAGACTCCTATTCAAATGTCCCGGAAGCATGCATCCCAACAGCACGAGTCCTGCGGATATCGTAGCAGGCACTGTCCGACTGAACAAGGCGTTCGCGGCTCTTGCCAAGGATGAAACGTTAGATCTTCGACGCCTTTCCAACTCAGAATTGCTTCTCTCGTCAGTCACTATGCACCGTGTCAGCAAAGACGGCCAGGTCCAGTACTACACAGGATCGCGAAGTGTTCACCGTTCTTTTTCTATCCACCCAGCGTCTGGCGTGGTCAGATGGTCCGCCGCGAGGCCAGTCAATTCACTTACGGATCTTCCTGACGATGTGCAAGGCATGATCTGTGCTTATGCAATCACCGCGGAAGATCGTCTTCGGCTTCCCATAAATTCCGCCCGGAAACCCAATTTCCATCGGAATGTTTTCGATGTTTCTGCCACACTCCGGGAATCTTTAGTTCAAGCTGTTAGTCAATACATGCCGGTGGTCATAGAGCTTACGGCTAAAGAGAGGGTCAGTGACTACAGCGACGCGGATTTGGTGAGAAGATATGACGCTGGGGTGGGGGTCCGCGAAGGCGGGCATCGGAATCATCTGGTGGAACTTATCGCCTCTCAAAGCCTGTATTCGACGTCCGCACTACCAACGATCTTAGTCCAAGTGGCACTCACTCGCGCCACTAACCCCACAGATGTTCGCATCAACATGAACGGGTTGCTCAATCTGAAGGGAACTACTCATGACGGTACTGAGGTAGACGAGATCTGTGTTGCTGTCGAGCTTCAGCACACTAGAGGCGACAACGTACACCACGATACCCACTATACTACATATGGGAGACTTAAGATGAGCATGTTCCTCTATCTCACGGACATTCTCGACCAGGTCTGTCCAAAACACTGGAAGAAGAATGCTCGACAAGCCTGCCCGGTATTCTGGATTGATGGACACGCAAACCTGGTAGACTTGGTCGCTCCACCGTTGGGGTTTCGATGGAGCCACGCGGATTCATTGAACTTTGCACATGAAGGAACGACATTGAGAAGGCTTGTTAAGAAAATCGAGCGTCGCCCAGATATCCCCAATAGCAAGGTGGGTTGTTGTTTGGACCGTGATACTGAGTGCGTGTACCACACATGGAGAAATTTGAAGATGTGGGCAAAATGTGTCTGGAGGATGGACAACGCACGCTCGACGAAGCAAGGACAGACGCTTGGTTGTTAAAGTCGTGTTGCAGATGGATTGAGAAGAAATTTCTTTCTCTTGAGCCACATTAACCATCAGCCCTCCACCCCTCGAATCAAATTCTTGATACCCTCTCCTCTTGAAGTCTGTTCCCATGCGTCGGTCGCCTTCTCAAACGGGGTCACCGAACTAATCAACGGCTTCACATCGATCAATCCCTTCTCCAAGAAACCCACCGCAAGCTCGTAATCCCCTGCACCGTATCGGAAGCACCCCCTCACCATGAGTTCTTTCTGGCCCATGGCCACAATCGGGAACTCGATCTTCGGCTTCCCAAGCCCAGTCTGAACATACTTTCCACCTGGGCGCACAAGGTTGATGCCCATGTCGATACTCGTCGTCGCACCGGAAGCTTCGATGACCGTGTCGACAAGACCGCCAGTGGTGTCGATGCCATACTCAACAAGGTCGAACTTCTTGAGTAGCGCCTCGGCGTTGTCTTCTGGACTCGCGTCGAGTGACGAACGGAAGGTCTCGCACTTCAAGTAGCTCGCTGCAAACTCTAGCTTCTTCTCCAGAATATCGACAATGATGATGCGATGCGCACCGAACTGACGTGCGACCGCCGCGCAGAATAACCCGATTGTCCCACTCCCCATTACGACAACTGTTTCGCCGGCCTTCACATCACCCAGTTTGACAGCATGTACAGCAACCGCAAGCGGCTCAACAAGCACCGCTTCATCCAACCCCATGCTTTCTGGAATCTTATACACAAAATCCTCGGCGCTGCGAAAGTATTTCGACAATGTGCCTTGCGTATCGGGCGGCCCAGGCGCCGCAGCAAAACGAATGTCGCGACACATGTTGTACACCCCAGATTTACACGCTTTGCAGATACGGCATGGTATGCCTGGTTCGATAGCTACGCGATCACCCGGTTTGACGCTTCCAACGGCTGGGCCGACGGAGTGGATTGTGCCCGAGGCTTCGTGGCCCATTACGATGCCGGTGGTGGGGTTTATCATTTTGCCGATGCCGCCGTGGTGCCAGAAATGGACCTGTGTTTGGTTAGTCGTTGGCAGGGTAAGATGGTGATGGATGGTCTTACATCGCTTCCGCAAACTCCCACATAGTTGATGCGAACGATCACATCGTGGGGATCAACCACCTCTGGTACTGCGGTATCTTCGATTTTCGCGTTTTTCGGCCCGTACAATACTACGGATGGGTTTTGCATGATGTTGTTGCTGGAGGTGGTGTGTATTGTGCGATGGTAGAATGTTATCTCAAGTTCCCCCTACATCTAGGTAGAAAAGAACGTCCATTTATATGAAATGACAAACTATCAGGCGTCTCGTCCAAGTACGTATATCCAGTCGTTGTGCTCTTGTAATCGTTATCGACGGTCAACTACGTCGTAAGTGGGGAGGCAGACGCGTGTAGCTTCCCCGCATCCGGCCTCCCATCGTCTATCCCCGCACATCCTTCGATACGCAATGAAGGCATGTCACAAATACGACGCATCTAGATGATGATCACGGAACGCGAAAACTCGTCGTAATGGATTAAGAACGCCTGCACGGATTATGAAAAGGCGCATGTGTTAACGCCGACGATGGGCGCTTCGGGGCTGCTCATTACGCACGGACCACACCTCGAATCGTTCATTTGCTTATGCGTACAGTGCTAAGGCTCCTATTAAGCGCTGAGTACTCCTTGTTGAGAACGACAAATTAGGAAGATTAGGATACTGCGAGCTTCTTCCTGCTAAGGAGAGCTACGAGCACATGAACTCGCGGCCCGAACTACTACCACTGCGTCTATCTCAGTGCGTACTGACCTCAGTGTTCGAACATCCAGGCTATCTCTTTTCCATGAAGTGGAGCTGAGGCGACCCGAACGTGGAGCGGCGAGATGAAACCTTCGCGCCCGCTTTCGTTTCGTTACCTAGCGTGCCTCAGGGCTATTAGTCTCAGCGCTAATCTTCGCGTTTATATTGTGGACGTCGTCCCCACGGATGGTACTCTGCATCTTTCCGTATATCTTTACAGCTTGCCAACGTGCTGTATACTTCCTGATATACTTCGCGCTTGTCTGGGTACTCGTTGCCATCTTCGTCTACCTATCCGTTCCAAATCCGTTTCGATCAAAAGGGACCAGCACCACTATCGACATGCCGTCCAACTGTGCCGTATGCAACAAATCTGGGGCTGTTCAGAGTTGTAATAAATGCAAGACGACACCATACTGCAGCCGCGAGTGCCAACAAAACGACTGGAAGTACCACAAGAAGCTCTGCGCCCTGCAAACCCACGCCAATGCCTAGTCCGGTGTCCTACCCAGTGCCGAATTTAGTGCCAACTACGCTGTGGCCCGCCTCACGACCCTCGAGAAGCACGTACCGAACCCTTCACGCAATCAAACGACTGGAACCACCTCCACGACCGTCCCGAGAAAGATATCTACAGGCTCCCCATCGACGCCTCCGGCATGCGCCCTGCAGTTGAGGATGGTAGCTGGGTTCGGGTATGGGGCAGGTCCGAAAGGGGCGAGTGGCATTGGGATGCGCAAGGTGCTGCGCTCGATGGAGTGGGGTGGTACTGGATTTGGACCTGGCAATATCATGAGCATAACGCAGATTAGCAATCTTACGGGTGGTGGACGCTGAGTTTTGAATGCGATGTTGTTCATTGTATGTCGCGCCGTTATTCTCTCCAAGTGTAGTCGGTGGATTAAGTCAGAAGCACTGCAGCTGGTGCTGAATATGTGCACAATCCATTCATTTTCTTGATCCGCGTTCTTCTATAACTCCCAAGTGTCCCATGCACGCGCGTGTCAAAGGTCGAGCGGTGAAACCACTCGTGGCCCAGGTTGGCCTACTTCCGCTTATGTCCAGTCTTGCCCTTCCTCGCCTTCTCTTGCTCTGCTTCCTTAATTACTTCAGCCGCTCTCTTAGCTCTTTGAGCTTCCTTCACGCGTTCATCCGCAGCTATCTCGGCCTGCGCAGCAGCTTCTGTGTCCCGACGTATCTTTCTTCCGGTCGCCGCACGCGCTTGTCTCATGCCTTTGGCGTCTTTACCCTTGAGCCCAGTGAGAAGCCATTGCGACGTTCTGAAAGTCTTGCCTGTGGGGACAGGGGGAAGCGACGCGACACTTCCTTCAATTTGTACGCTAGGGTTGGCTCCAGGCACTGGGGTCGTTTGTGGAGAGGCCGGGCTTTCGAAGGCTTCGCTGTTCGTACTGATATCGGCGTTTGCGACTATTCCAGCGAGCTCAGCAACATCGTCGTCCTCGGGATCTGGACCAGGGGAGGAGGCACCGTTGTCGAGTAGGTCCGCGATGTCCTCGACCTGAACAGTACCACTTGTCGCCAATAGACGCTCTATCTCCGAGGCCGGCCAGTCATCGCGTACAGCCTTAAAAACGATGTTGTAGCCGTGGCTATAAGGATGTTTTCCGCACCCTCTGGACCAGACAGTGGAGCGCTCGCCGCACTCGTCGCAGAACGCTTTCAGTCTCATCAGTCTCGACTCGAGCGACGGGCGTTGCTATACAGACCGAAATGCAATTGCCAGAAACATTTCTTTGTTGGAGGCGCCTGTAAGCGGGTCAGTGAAGTTGACCTCGTTATGCAAGGGGTATCATGAGTGTGATTGCAGGTGTACTAACCTTGCAGTCTTTACAATGGTGTGTTAGGCCCAAGACTTTAAGGGTGTTCTTGTTGCAGATGTTGGGGTTGAAGTCGCCTTTGAACATTTCTCCGTATCTCTCGTTAAGATCTATCCATCCTCCTGCGAGTTTTACCATCTTGGCTAATGTATGGGGTAACTGAAGTTGGGGAACTGTATGCTTGTGTATATCGGGTGGTAGTGAGTATGACTAGAGTGTATAGAGATCGAGGCCTTGCAGCCCCGATGCAAATTCGTATCACACTGCTGCCTTGTAGTGCAGCGATTCATTGCGCTGAGCTGATTCCATGCGCGGTTATGATCTGTGCTAGTATCCGCTTTGAAGTGTGGAGACTCTGGTAGCATAGGTAACTGGCTCGACATCGCTGCGTGAATTCACTGGGCATTAAAAGGAAGCTCATAGTAGAGATTGTATATGCGAGGAAGAGTCACCATTGTAACCTTTCGCTTAGATAGGATACTTGCATAGCGTTTGCTACGTGGTCATTCGTTTCCATCTGTCAACATGTACATCATTCACTATGCCGCGCATTTCACGGGGCTAGACAAGCTCGGGCTCCACTTTGGCGCTGGTACTCTCTTCTTCGAGCCTTATAAATTCTCTCCACCCCGAAACACTACCTTGCTACGGGTAGTTTGACTGCCAATCGACCGAACACCACGCCCACACCAGCCGATAACGACCTCCAAATATCCGTGTCAACATGCATTTCAGCCTCACGTCTTTGTTTCCTGGTCTGGACTTCAGCTCCAGCTCCAAGCACCCTCAGGAAAATTCCCAGAGCAGGCTTCGCAAGACACCGCCTGCACCGAACATTGCAAACGATCTTCAAAATCGCGATCGTCCCAGTAAGCAAGATGCCAACCTACCCACAGTACTATCCATCGCCTACGAGAAGTTCCGAGCTCGCTTCGCCCGCCAGCGCAAGAACAGAAATCTAGAGCAGGCAGATGTGTCGCACGAAGTCGTTGCTTCACAAGAGACTGCAGGTTTGCTACCAAGCCTCAACGTGATCTCTGGTATTTGCACCATCATGGAAACGCCGTCCGAGCTATCTCGGCGGTTGCCTTCGCGTGAAAACGCCACGGATCGTGAGGAAAGTGGGCTCAAAGTAGTTGAGCGCACCTGCGACAATGACGACTCCACGAGTGTCGTTGAATCCGCAGTCGTCACCGTCATCCAGCGCGAAAAGGCTGTCTCGCCAAGCGGTATGAACTCTGACGAGGAGGTTGAAGACTACAAATCATCTACACCCAAGTCGGACGGCTCGATAACGTCTTCTCTAACAAGCGCGTGCTCTGATGGCGAAGCGCTTGATCGCGCGGACTGGGAGCCACTCCGTGCGCTCGACCATTCGAGCTTCCAGAAAACCCTTCGGCACCATCTCAACCCCTCCGCCGAGTACTGCGCAGATGACTACCTTTTCCGCGGCGAATTTGAGGGTGGCTACAACCTCGTTCGGATATACCAGGTTATCAATAGTTCTAACGACGGTGAATATGTGGTCAAGATTCCTTGCGTCGGCACTGCCGCTCGCTGGCAGAAGCAAGATGCATACATGATGCGTTCGGAGTTTGGCACTATCAAGTTCATTGGCGAGCGTACCAAATGTCCCGTTCCTGAGGTTGTGGCCTACGACGACACGCTGGATAATACGTTAGGTGCGCCTTACATCTTGATGAAGGCCTGCACAGGCAGATCCGCCTCCGAAGTCTGGCACGACGCTCACCCCATTCATAAAGACTGGGATCGGGACACAGTCGACTTTCCTTCCAAGGACCTGGCGTCAAAGCGTGAGCGCATACTTCGTTCACTGGCCCAAGCCATGGCCGAGCTGCGTCATCTTGAGTTCGACAAGATTGGCGCGTTGGACTTTGACACTGTTGACGCAAACGGAACGCCTGCTATTGGTTCGCTTTTGGAGTGGAATATCGACCCAGATCTGACCGCCGAAGATCTGGCCACTGAAAAGGCTCTTACTGAGAAGCCAGTGTACGACTCAAGCCTGGAGCTTTACACGGATGGTCTGCTTGAGGCCTGGCCGTGCGAGGTACATAAAGGAAGGCCCGGCGTCATCCATGGAATCCTAGATGCATTGTTCCGAAGCGATGCTTTCGCGAAATCTGTCAAGCCCGGGGATAGCGAGGAGACCTTCGTACTCCGTCACGACGACCTCAACCTTCAGAACGTCTTCTGCGACCCGAACACCGGCGAAGTAACCGGTATCATCGACTGGGAGCGCGCTTCCACCGCCCCACGCTCTCTCGGCTACGCTTCCCTTCCAAAGTTCTTGACATTAGACTGGATGCCAGGGTACGAAGTTCTCGATGCGCCGCACTCTCCATTGTCGCTACAGGCGTATCGTGAGATCTACGCCGACGCAATGATCAAGGCGACTGGAGCAGACGGTGACGGCATGTATACGTGCAAGTCTGCGATGTATCAGGCCGCGCACGCAGCGTTGTTTGGTAGTAGTGAAGGTGGCGATATTCGTGACTTTGTCCGAAAGCTGCTGCACGAGGTTCCGGGACTGCACCACACGGACCTTGACTTGTACCTGACTTGGCTCGGCGAGCACTGGGAGGCGGTTGGCAGCTCTGTCAAAGAGGCTGTACGGAAAGTTGCGAAGCCAGTAGTAGGGACGATCGACGTCTGCGAGACCTGATAGCCTCAATCCCGAGATCGACAGTACGATCGTGTTATCGACGTGAAGGCAGTCTTACCTGCCATAGGAGGAGAGTGATGGCTCCCCATTTCAGTCTGCCTTCACTGCCACGTGGAAGTGTCGATACCTACTAGTACTCACCAAAACCTTGATGCCTAAAGGGTATTTGAACTATCGTAACCCCATCTCTCCTACGCTACACACGACTTTTCTCCATACCAATAACCCAAGCCAATCACCGACAGCGTCGATCAGCAATGGACAGTCCATTTGAGCCGAGGTGGGGATACAACGAGTCCAGACGTTACTTCGCGCAGAGCACAAAATACAATGTAACGGAGGGCTCAAAAGCTTTCACCAAAGAGCAAGTGCTTGCAACACTCCAGCAGTCTTGCCCGGATGCATTGGCCAAGTTTCCGGCTCCTGATGAGTTCGAAGTTCGAGAGCACCGTCCCGGTCAATACGCGCTCAAGGTCGGCTATGCCGTAACGAAGAGGTCCAGGAAGACCGGTGACGTACTTTGGCTTGACGAGCGCGCAGACCAGCCCACTATCTCAAACTATAAAACGGCGCAAAAGAACGACGCTATCAGAAAGATGATCGGTCTATACTACTCAACAACCGCAGACTCTCCGCGTAATGGCTACGTCAAGAATGCGAAGATCATCAAGGGTGACGGATTATTCGGCAGGCTCAGCGACAGTGGCATGATCTCGCCGTTCACCCTCAACATGAAAGCACTTCTCAGGTTCGTGCTCCTGTATTGCGGCTATGCGACAGAGCACAAGACATTCGAGAACAGGGGTCGGGACGAGGGTCTCTCGTCACTTGTCCGAGCTCTGAGAGCGATTGCCAGGCACACGTCCGACGATGAAAAAGAAGAAGGCGATGAGTCGACCATGAAAGACAGCGACGGTGCAACAGATGCGTCTGACCACGAGGGCGACTTGTTCGTAGCAGATGGTAAGGAGGAAGCTTCAGCCAAGCGCAAGGACACCATGGACGCAGAAGTCGACGAGGGCGCACCGGCGAAGAAAATCCGCGCATGCTAGAGGCTGCGGCTGCCGGCGAGGAGGCACTGATCAAGAGTGAGAAAAACGTGGCAAGAGAGCAATGAATACATGGCTAGAGAAGGGCAAGCCTTCAAGGAAGATCAGCTTGGGGACGACATGGAAAGCCAAAAAGTTGTGTGTGATGTTTTTGGTGTCTTTTCGGCGTGGCTGCTGAGCCGTTGCGGAGTTTGACGCGTCGGAGATCACGCGCGCGTCGGCCTACTAGACGCTATAGCGGTGAATCATGGATGAGGGAAGAAACAAAAGAAAGTCATTCACGATTCCCGATGCCTTATGTGATGACCTTGATGCGTGAGAAGAGCGCGATATCTTTTCGCGTTGCTTGCGCGAGGCGGGCTTCACGCAGATCTGCCGGAACCACGTGATGATGACTTAGTCTGCTTTCGGTTGGCGCGCTTTTCCAGCTTCCGATCTCGCCGGACCCAATGTTACCTTCCTCGTTACCATAACACACTGATGTGCGCGTCCTCAGCGCAAAGTACAGCATGAATTCTCCTCTGCAGAAACAGATGATCGCCTTCCACCCGAGATCACGGTTCCGCTTGTGTGAGCTCAACCGAGCCGGCACCTAGAGACAGGGGCTCAGGATTACAGCTATCGTGTTATATTACCTAGGTATGCTCTCGCAGTCCCCAAATGCCTGCATATGGACGGAGGGAATTTTGCCCGTGCCCTGAGCGCTGTGCCCTTGTGAATGGTTTCTCCCGAGGTCTCGAGGTGCCTGCTTGGGTACCACGACTAATCACATGCGATCGCCGCTGACGCGTTTGTGTTACGGACGTAGCCATTGAAGTGCCAAACCCTAATATTTGAATGCGCTATTTCAATGACGATCGCGTCGACCGGAAATATAACATCTATTTCGAGCTGAATGTTGCAGCATAACCAGTCATTCCTGCTATACTTATACTGCTAACAATGCCGATTGAGTCGTCATACCCGCCCATTACCATACCCGCCGTCGATGTATGGACATATTTTCTCGAGCGACCAGATCGCGAGTACCCGGATGATCATGGTATGTATTCATATACATCTATCGAGCGCCTTCTAACACGATAGTAGTGCTCTTCGTAGACATTGCCAGCGGTCAAAAGCTCACATATGGTCTGCTCCGGTCCAGCGCGGAGCAGCTCGGAAGAGGCCTCCAGGAACAATGGCAATGGCGCAAAGGCGATGTTTTGGCAATCATGACGCCGAATGATATCGATGTCGCGCCTGCTACATTCGGCGTCTTACTTGCTGGAGGTGTCGTGTGTCCTCTAAACTTCATGTACACCGTCGATGAGCTGGTGTCTCAGTTGACATCTTCGAAAGCCAAGGGACTGTTGACAAACCCGGCATGTCTTGAGGTCGCTTGCAAGGCAGCATCGAAAGTCGGCCTTCCTCTGGATCGGATACTCCTGGTCGGAGATGGCAAGACATCGGGATCCGTTCGGCACTTCTCTTCTCTGAAGAGCGCGTCAATCAACATGATCCGAGTCAAAATCGACCCCAAAGAAGATCTGGCGTACCTGGTGTACTCTTCTGGAACCACTGGCGAGCCAAAGGGTGTCATGCTGACGCATGAGAACGTCGTAGCAAACAGCATTCAGGCTACGACGGCAAATGGCTACAACACCAACTGGAAAACCGACACGGGTATTGGCTTCCTACCCATGTATCACATCTACGGTAAGCTCAACGAGTTCACAATCAAACATGCGCTGATAGATGTAGGAATTGCTACACTACTGCTAAATACCATCTTCTACGGCGTGACCAATCACATCATGTCAGGATTTGACCTCAAGAGATTCTGCGAGACGGTAGACAAAGAGAAAGTCACCATCGCTTACATCGTTCCGCCCGTCGCACTCGCTCTGGCAAAGGCCCCCATTGTCGATCAGTACAACCTCAAGTCCCTGCGCGACCTGCATTCCTCTGCCGCCCCAATACCCGTCGAGATCATCACCGCGATACACAAGCGCCTCGGCGCTCAAATACTCCAAGTCTACGGCATGTCTGAAGCCGCACCAGCCGTGAGCGTGCAACGCATCGAAACCTGGACCACGGCGTTGGGCACATCCGGATGCTTGTTACCCAGCATGTCAGCCAAGGTCGTGAGTGACGGAAAGGAAATGGCGATAGGCGAAGAGGGTGAGCTGTGTCTGAAAGGACCGAATATCTTCAAAGGGTACTACAACAATCAACAAGCTACGGCCGCTGCTTTCGATGCTGAAGGGTGGTATCACACCGGCGATGTCGCAAAGTTCGATGAACATAGGAACCTGTACATCACGGACCGCGTCAAGGAACTCATCAAGTACAACGGCTTCCAGGTCGCGCCGGCGCAACTCGAAGCTCTCTTGATTGGTCACCCGGCGGTCGCTGATGTCGCCGTGATTGGCGTGTACGATGAGTCGAAGGTAACGGAGCTACCGAGAGCGTATATCGTTGTGGCAGCGGGGTACAAGGGTGAGGAGAATCTGGAGGAAGAGCTGCATCAGTGGTTCAACGAGCGTGTGTCGCCACACAAGAAGTTGAGGGGAGGTATCCGCTTTGTGGAAGCGATACCAAAGAGCAATGCAGGCAAGATATTGCGGAGGGTGCTTGTCGAACAAGCTAAAGCGGAAGAAGCGGAGAAGAGTGTGAAAGCTCGTTTGTAGTTCTTTGGACGGAGTATATAGGAACTCTATCGTACATCCCATCTGGTCTTTGGATAGGTATACTGAGACCAGCCATACAATTTGATCTATCTACAGCTTCGTAAACAACGTCTCCTTCATAGCCCTAACATCCAACTCCTGCGTCCACGTACTCCTCGGCTGCGTATGCAAGAACCAATACGTATGCGCCAAATCCCTCGGTTGAACAAGATGACTTTCCACATCCGCCGCCTTGTCCGTCTGCCCCGTCCGTTCCCACTGCCTCTTCATCACACCACCAATCAACTTCCCATCAACCGGCCCATCAACGATAATGTTCACAGCATGTATCCCCTTCGCCTGATACTCCCGCGTAATGACCTGACACAGCGAGCGCAGTCCAAACTTTCCCGGTGAGAATGACGCCAGGCCTGGCATACCGCGCAACGCGCCTGTCGCGCTGGTGAAAAGGATGGTTCCCTTGCCTGCAGCAAGCATATCCGGGATAACCAGCTTGCTCGCCCAAAACGCGCCGAAGAGGTTGATCTTGGTGAAGTTCTCGAATTCCTCGCTCGTGGTATCGATTAGCGAACGTCCGTTTACGCGACGCGCGCCGGCGTTGTAGACGAGTACGTTGACGGGGCCGAGCTCATCGCGGATGCGCTTGAAGGATGAGATTACGGTGTCTTCGACGCGTAGGTCTGTGATGTAGTAATGTGCGGTGTTGGTGCCGACATCGCTGTTGATGTTCGCGGCCATGGTTTGTAGCGCTTCTTCTGTACGCGCAAGGAGCGCGACGACGAAGCCTTCGGAGGCGAAGCGGTGGGCTACTGCTTCGCCGATGCCTGGGCCTGCGCCTACGACGGCGATGACGGGTTTGTTGGTGGTGTTTTTGGACATTGTGGTGGTGTTGAAGGAGGAAGCGGCCTGTTGGGTGCGATGTCGCGTCAGTTGCCTTCACATTTTGTCGTGGACGAAAGTAGCAAGATATCTATTACGGAAAGCTTGTTGTGCATATCTCGTAGGGTTGGTGCTGGTTGCATGATTAGCTTCGATGCGGGGAAGAGGCGCAACGCGTTCCTCGGAACCTCGGAACCGGGTGTTGAGTAATCGCGCTATCGTACGTATCGGCCTAATTGTCTGTCAGTCGCAATCTTCCTTCACCTCGACTTTCGCAACTAATATTCAAGCGGGCATCGACGCTCAGTGCTCATGTAATACTATTCTGAAGGCTGTCTGATCGACCTAGCACGAACGGGCGCACTACCCCGCCACCGATGCCGCTTCCTCATCTTCACTAAATCCTCCCCTTCGCGCAGCATTCGACTTTACATCACTCCCCCGGCATCGACCTTATCATCTTCGCACCATCTCAGCGATATGAAAGCTAGATTCTTGAGATGCTGGGCAATGTGGTTCCAGAGTACCAGCTTGGCCAAATCTCTAGCCTTCCGCGCTCTAAGGCCAGCATACCTGGTGTTCGACTCCATCTCTGCTCCACATTCGTTGTCTATATCTACTTTGGCGCCAGCGTCGAAGCCGCAGAACAAGCAAATATCCCGCGATCGAGATGGGCGCCTAGTGTTCCGTCGGACCTTAGTATCAATCTCCAACGACGAAAGATCTCTATGGTCAACCTTCAGATGCTGGCGCAGAGATTCTTCACCCTGGAATGTCTTGAGCGTTGTATGTCCTTCCTCGTCCAGATGCAGGTCGCAGTACCAGACCCTGGATCTGTGGATATTTTCCGTCCAATAGGCGGTGTGCATCTCTTTCATGTGTTCCTGCCATCTAAACATGCTAGCGAAGTATAATGGTGGCTTCTGACAACTTTCGGGGATGCATGTGTAGGGCTGTAGGTCTTGGTCGAAGTGCGATCTGCTTGTCGTAAGCTTGCGTCCAGACAATACGCGATGCCTTCATGGACAACATACTCCCACCATCCTGTACGCTGAGGGTCCCCAGCTCTGATTTGTTCAAAACACCAATTGCACCGGACGTGATCGACACCTTTCAATGGCGTTGGAGGTTCTGGGTAAGGACATGACTGGGCTGCTGAGGATGCTGTAGTGTTGCCAAACCGGACGTTCTGCTCAGTCGAAGCATCAGCCGATAGCTTCTTCGGCTCCAAGACTGGATGCTCGGTGACAGATAACTTGTCCAGAGCAGCCACTATCTGATCTTGTGCCCGCGCGACACTTTTGGTGTCCTCGGCCGCCACAGCCTGTGCATCATCACCCTGTTGTCGTTGGAGGTCAAGGTCTTGTTGATGCTTCCTCTGACGGAGTAGGCGAGCACGCCTGCGTGCGATAGATGAGCCTAGTTGTTGGACTAGTGTCTTAGGCAGATCAGGGTATGTGCCTTTCACGACCGCAGCCGCAACTCTGTCGAAGCCGTCTTCATCTCTTATTTCGGTGTCTGATATCCGTTGCAGTATGTCCACTGCCTCGTGGATGGCCGTTAGGCATATCCGTGTCAGTGACGGGGGAATCGCATGCAGCACGCTGTACTTCGCAGCCTGGTATTCGTCGGACTGCGATAATCCCAGTCCTGGCTGCGCTTCACAGCCAGATACCAGGTCTGTTGATGTCAGTCACGGATCAATCGGTAATGCAATGCGATGTCTTGCCTTTTCGTAAGCTGGTCCTTATCAGTTCCAGCATACTGACCACAATCTGCGAGTCATCTGCTGGACTGAACTCAAGTTGTTTGTCCAAAGAATCCTCGCCGTTTTCCAATGCATTCGTGTAGCCAGCCCAGGTATCGAATCGTGACCGGCAGTGGATAAGAGCGTAGTATAGTGGTATCTCGGCATTCGGAGGTAGTGTGTCCTCGGGGAAGGCCTCTCGAAAGAGCTTGTAGCATTCGCTAGCCAGATCGAAAATTTTGGTGTCGTCCATGTTGTGTAATAGAGATACTACAGCACATCATCCTCGATTTTTAAAGCACACATGAGTCACTTTCGTGATTCATATCCATGACTCTTTCGCAGATGAGGGCGGGGACCACAGGGTGGTCACCTTCACCTGTACCACCTGTTGGTTACCACGCCTCAAACCTGCCCGCTGCCTTCATTCGCGCCGAAGCTCAACAAATGATAGCAAGTGCCTTTGACTGGACCGGGCTCAAATCTCGTAGCGTCAAGTCTTTAGCTATAGTTGCTCACTTGACTAGCGCAAGCCCGAATTTTGCGGCAGACGAAGAGGGAACATGAATGTGGAAGGTGACGTTGAGCTTGATGAGGTTGATACGGAGGAGTTTGAGAGGGTGGAGGGGTTGGAGGTGGGTGATGGAGTTAAGTGTGCGCTTTGGGTGGCTCAGTAAGTACATCATCAATGTGTAAGGCACACGAGGGTTTTCTTCGTGTAGTATTGTGGCCGCTAATCAGCCAGTGTTGGCATCTGCCGTAATGTCGTGTGAATCTGGTACAGTACATGAACATGCAGTTACTCGATCATATCGCAGTAATGGGTATCAACAGTGATCCTCCCGCCTAAAGTCGCCTTGGGAATCATCCCGGCGTCTACCTCGTCCGTCGCTATTTTCCTAATGTATAATCTCTTCTCGCAAGAGTGAAGCACCTCACATGTGTCCTTCGAATCGTATTCTCGTATCTTCACCATTTGGTCTTGGACGCGCTGACTGTCAATCTTCAGTCGATAACAACCATCACCTTCGCCTTCTTCTTCATCGGACCTTGGCGGTCATCTTGCACAACCTTGGTGCGCTCTCGTATCTCTTCGTCAAGATCGTCCTCTTCGGTATCGTCCTCATCGTCCAAGTCAACGATGTGCGTACGCTTTCGTGAGGCTTGGCTGGCACTTGCGATAGAAGAACTTCCGCTATCACTTGGTGCCTTTGTGCCGCTCGTGCGGAGTGGCAAAGCCGGCGCCATGAACGTACGCAATCCCCTGCCGCCGAGAATGTCTTGGCCTGTAGGCTTCGCGTTTCCACTGGCAATACCATCTAGCTGGCGGTACTTGCGGCGGAGATCTTTGACATCGCGGTCGAGGTCGTATCTAGACACATCAAGGCCGTTGATGGTGTGGAGATTCAGAGCGTCGGCCCGGTCGTCTCCCCAGTACCAAGTCGCATCGGATTCCTGAGCGATACGGTTGTCGTGCTTTCGTGCAAAGGCGCGCGCCTCGACCACAGCTTGTCGGCCGACATCGAGTCCTGGGAGGTCGTCATGAGCGGATTTAAGGAAGTATGCCGTAGCGTCACGCTCGTGTAGACGGCCAAGAACACGGGAGTAGGGAATGGCGAGCTCTTTGTCGGCTGGGTGTAGTGGGTACCAGTCTGCATAGTCGTTGGCTACACGTGGGGCTTCGACATTATGCTCCGTCACCCAAAGCTTATTAGACCGTGAGCTGTCGCTGGTGTAGGCTGAGCCATAGATCCATATCTCGGAGTTATACGGCCTTCCCTCGTCATAGTCGTTATCCGATGCCTTGTCCAAGTTCGTCCACTTCAGCCGAATGGATTTCACACTCATGACATCCGTACAGCCAGACTGGCCAGATTGCTTGTTGGGAAGGAGACGAACTGTGTCGCCCACGGCGAGCATCTCGGCGCCAACGTAGATCCCATGGCAGTATATGCTCGCGTTGGGCCAAGATCCTCGAAACCGATACTTGCCCATAAGAGAGAGCGTCGACATCAGGGCGAGGGCGTTCTTGACAGTGTCATGCCATTCTTCCTGGGGGATACGGCGTAAGAGGTCCCTCCACATCATGAACGGGCTTGTCTGCCGCAACAAGACGTACTTGTGTCTCTTAGAGAGCGACTTGTCGGACTCGTTTGGATCTGGGATAGGTTCGACGCGTACGCCTATGCTGGACACGTTGCGCTCCTGAGTAGAGGCAACGAGCTCGGAGACCGTGGTACCAGTAGCCGGCTCGGTGACGAGGCCTGCCGCCCATTGGGGAACACCGAGATGCTGCTTGCGCCGCTCATCGTACAACTGAAGCTCTCCGGTGGTGTTGTCTCGCCCCAATTCAACGGTGTCGGGCATGTTGCGTATATACAGCACAAGGTCTCCAGTTCGCGGGACCCACTGGTCTTGTGTCTTTATATCGTCGAGAAATTTCGGAAGGTGTTCTTGTTCAGCGCGCCAGTCTGGACTTAAGGGCTCAAGTATGGGTTCGTCCACATCGCGATGCCGGCGAAGCTTGTCGATGAGATTCCTGTAGACGTCGGGAGTGCCCTCACTGTCCACGTTCGTCGTGTCGAGACCCGGAGTTATCTTCTTTGGCCGACCTTTGTGCTGTGGTGCTAAACTATGCGGCGGTGGGACTGAAAGCGATTGAACGCTGTGGGCACTGGAAGGCCGGCTTGGCAGAGAAGCAGACGAGTTGGATGCCTTTCGGGAAGATGCCGCGCTGGAGCTGCGTACCTGGGAGCTGTTGGCTGAGGTTTTCGGAAGAACGCCTGCACTGCCACTGCAGAGAGTACATGGGCAGCCTATGCTGTTGCCATTGTTGTTCATCAGATGCAGAAAATGGGGAAAGAATCGATTCGGCGAGTCGAATGCCTTCTTTCCGGGATGGCCATATAGATACTTGTCGAAATGGCTCGGTTTGGATGGTCGCGGGCGATGCCAGAGAGTATAACCAAAGGGAAGACCTTCCAGCGAGTACTGTACACCGGGCTTAGCCTCACCTCGACTCTCCATCCATTGTTGACCGATCTTTTCCAGGTACAGAGTCGGTGGATCGAGTTGAGTATGAGCTCCTGGAGGCGGGACATGGAGAGGATCACCGTCAGAGCAACCGGGGACGAGGCGGACGGTTACGCGGGGTGACATGGTGACTAGCAGTGGGTGGCTTGCGAGATGTTAGACAGCTTAAGCAATTTGCTTTGAGATCATGCTTTAAGCACCAGGAAGCTGTCGCACGGCAAAGCTGAGGTTAAGACGTTGGTGACGAGGATTTTTTCGATTGAAGTTCGTGCAGGTGTGCAAACGTCACGGTAGGCGAGAGCATGATTGAGGTAGTCGCGTTTGTGACGCGTCGGTGAAGCGCGCGGTGAGAGCGAGAGCGCGTGAGGAAAGCGCGTTCGGCAGCTAGCGTCGCTCATCCTCATCAGACATCACAGTCTTGTGATACCGCCTACTCAGGTATCTTCAGCGTGCTGAGTATCGCCACCTGTGGGTGCGTTTACACGTTGGCACGTGAAAGGAAGTCGAGTGAGGTGAAGCTCGAGGCTTGGCGGCAAAATCCCTCGGACCCGGATCCCTGGGCCGAATGCAGGAACAGGCTCCGAATTTAGCGACGTGCGACCCCTAATCACTCAGCAAAACAAACACCGCTGCGAAACGACACTACCAACGGGACTACCAACAAACTTCACTCGTGCGACATCATTTCCAGAGCGTTGAGACTGCCTCAAGCCCGTGGAATACCTGCTCAACCCCAGATGTCAAGCACGCCATCATCCTGTCTGCATAAAAGCTCCCGTCAAGCTCTCATGATCTGCCCATGCATGGCGCACCCGTTCCCGACGCAGCACCGTGCGGCTCCACCAAGAACCAGCTCCATGAGTGATGGTCAGGAGAATGGGGTGACCCCCTAGCCCGTTGGAGTTTACTTCGATACTATAACGGTCGCTAGCGCGTGATATCGCGCAGGCCCCATACGCTCGAAGCCTGAGTAGGATCATGTCAACAAGATTCCGTCTCGTACAAGCTTTCGAGAGCTGTCATGGCTCAGGCGGGTGCGTCGCGCCTGACAGCCGTGGAGAGGGAGGCTCCTGTTATCTTCCTCTCACCTCCCTACCCCCATCGTCTTCGTCATCGGCATCCCTACGCTCCCAGGCTATAGCGCGATATAGCGGCAAGCCACCCGCAGAGCGATAGCCATTGCAGTCAGGAGAACTTGGACGCTTTCTTTTGACACACAGAACACCATACACCGCGAGCCACAAGCAATATAGCCCACAGCCTCCGATCCAATGAACTTCTATCGCTCCAAGCGCGCAAAGGCACACTACGAGATTGGTGACGACCGGCCGGCAAAGCGCATCTCGACGCCGGCTGGCCAGCGTCTCTCCGTAATTCTCGACGCCAAACGAGGCAAGTCGGCTTCGTCCAAGGCTGCTGAAATCAGCGTCACCACCGAAAGCACATTCTGCAACGACCCATCGCATCAGCATGTCGGACCAGTACAACACCACAGGGTCGAGAAGAAGCCCGGCTTCATCCAATCGGTCTTGACGGGTGGCAGGCTGCTCACGCCAAGGGAAAGCAGCGAGGACATGCACAATGGGAGCAATCTCAGTGTCAGCGTGTGGAGTGATCGGGATGAGGAGAAGTTTGGACACGTGCGGCAACGGAGACAGAGAGGATGTGCTGCTTGGGGATGGAAGAAGCTTGCCGTGGTCGCCGCCCTGATCATTGCGCTAATTGTGGCATTGGGCGTTGGACTCGCCATGGGACTGAAGAAGGACTCGAAGAGGTAGGCCAGATTCATGCTAACATTGAGGGAATGTGGGCTGACAATCACACAGCAGCGCACCCGCAGCGAACACAGGCGGCTCAACGACATCGACAGGCACCGATAGCAAGCCCGCCTCCAACCCCGACTCCAACTCTCCCTCCACGACCGACGACGATCCCCCATCTGCAGTCACCACCTCCACACCCTCCGCTGTCCCCTCGAACTTCCCCGTCGGAAGCTGGTCATTCGTGCTCTTCCTCGACACCGTCACAACAGACTGCACCTCGGATGCAGACACTTGGACATGCCCGCCAAACACGAACTACTACGACGACCAACAGAAAGCTCTCACAATTCTCAATTGGGATATCACCGGTTCCACAGGATCTTGGAAGATTTCTTCGGGCAAGCAGGACGACACATTCGACACGACGTTCCAGAACGAAGACCTCGAGTTGCTGGACGCCGGGAAGGATACGGAGCGATACCGATTCCAGATCACGCGATCCAAGACTGTGAACATGACGGGAAGCCTTGGAGGAAAGAGAGGCGACTTTGAGTGCGACTACGGTGCGACAAACATGCAGGGCATCTTGTACACCAAGATGCAGCAGACATACCCAGACGACACAATCGCAGTTGGAAAGGTCGCTAACAAGGCGTGGCCATATGGTAAGCAAGCCTGGCAACTCTCATCTCAAGTACACCAACTAACTCGAAACAGCCGTAAAGATTGAACAAAGCGTAGCAGGTGGACAAGGAGTACCAGCTTGCACAAGCTCGTCAGGCGACGACGTTAGGCTTAAGCCTCAGATTGAGAGCACGTTATGTTCTTGTTTCTACAAGAACTTCACACCACCGCCCAAGTCATAAACTCAATTCAAGTTTCTTTGTCTATTATTGTTGTCATCTAGCGTTTCCTTGCATCATCGCTCTACATTTACTTATCGAGCCAGGCGTATCTAGCATAGCGGGTTTTACTCTACAGAGGTAATGATAGTGGTTTTTCCTCATTGGCGTTCGAAGCGTCCTGCTGTATCCCTCTGCCAAACTGATAACTGAGTCCGGTGGCCAAAGGCATGCGATGAATGCATGCACTCTCACCCGATCTCACTCTGACGTCGCAACACAATAGACAACCACCACGTCAAAGACACCCATTGTCGCGCTGCACCGCAAAGATACCGCGAAAACACCTCTTGGTGTCTTTGTTCCTCCCGCGCACCACAGACACAACCCTCCATCCGGCTGCACGCTCCCACAAACTGCCGCATGCGGTCGCGGCTTAACAAAGACAAAGCAGCCACCATGGGCATACAAGAGCCGGCGACACTAAACATCGCATTGGCGTAACTACGCCATTCCTACGGCTAACCACACTAGCCATACTAAGCACACAGCGCGCATCTTGAGCACCTTGACCCTACCAACGCACTCACCAGCGCGTGCGATGTCCTTCCTCCACAACCTCTTCAGCTCGCCCGCTAAACCCCCACCCACCGAGAAGCGTAATGAGCTAGATATGCCTAGAGCACACTCGGGTGGGAAGGGTGGGAAAAGGAAGAGAGACGCGTATGATCCGGAAGAATACCAGAACGCTGTTTATGCTGGTGCGGGTACGGTGGCGGTGAGTGGTGATAATGGGTATGAGCTGGATGAGGAGGAAGCGGATGAGGGGGAAGCGGCAGCGCACCAATTACAAGATGAAGCTGAAGTTGAGATTGAAGTGGATGATGAGGATGAAAATGATGGAGATGACGATGACGACACCCGGCCGTATGCGACTCCGAAATCCGTACGCAAACTTTCGCGCGATTTGTACACTGCTCTGGAAGCGCGTAGGCCTGGTAGTAGGACTGGTAGGACAAAAACGCACGATGAAGCAGGGGAGACGCTGGCTGGTACAGGTACCAAGATCACAACATCACCATCACCATCACCATCACCATCAATACGCACAGGCAGCGAGACCGACAACGAAGAAGACGAGATCATCGATGAGATAAATTGGTCCAGCAGCGACGACGACTTACAATTATCATTCTCCCCTACCACTTCATCGGCCGGACCAGACATGACTGGTACTGGCGAGATCGAAGTAGACAGACTCAAACACACACCTGTTGGCAAACAACCTAGATCAAGGACTGGGGCTGTTAGATTAACGACCACTACTACTCCATGGCCTATAACGACCAAAGCTTCATCTTCACTTTCATCCGCCAAACCAACCAAACCCATCACTACACCACAATCACCTCAGCGCACCATGACCTCCCCCCTCCCCCTCGCCGCCACCCATCCTCCCGGGTTTAAATACCCTTTGGCTTGGCACGAGAAGACACTCGCCGACAAATGGGATACATTCCCCAACCTCCGCGCCCGCGAACTCCACGCTTCACCGCGCCTCATCCGCGCAGAATTACCTTCAGAACCACTGTACGCCTTCCGCGACGCAGAGATAAGGGATGGGTTGTGGGCACTTATGAGCGGCATCGAGGATTTCTCCAAAAAGTACTTCCCGAAGGGTGCGCACGCTTCCCATACGAGTAAAGACAAGAATGGGGATACCCTAGTGCACAAGAAGTTCTTCGAGACTTTGCTACCAGAGACGGCAAAACTAATTAATTGCGTGGCGAGTGGAGGGCCGAGCGGACTATGGGGATGGCACGATCTTTTTGTCAACAAAGAGAAATTGCAAGCGTTGGTTTGTGCGATGATTGGGAATGTGTTAAGTGAGCAGGTGTTGCAGCATGCGTTCTTTGGGGGGACGGAGGAGGGTGTTAGAGCTGTTAGCAAGGTGCAGAGGGAAATGAAGGATCAGGACGGTGAGTTTGGGTGAAGTGAAGAAGATGCAGAGGATGAAAGATCTTGAATTGACATGAATAGGTTTCACCCGCAACGCCGCCTACGCATCCACCATCCTCGCCCACCTCCCCACACCGACATCCCTCCCTTACAACTTCAACGCCCACGTCAACACCATCATCGGAGCACTATGGACGCACCTCTCGCCCCTCCTCACCCTAGCTCACCCACCTACATACCCCGCCTCCACACCCCTCCCCATCCCACCTCCTTCACTCAGCTCCGTCTTCGCAGACCTCCGCCACCTCACCGTTTCCGCAGGCCTCCTCTCCCTGCACATGCACCTCGATCCGCACACAGCATACCACCACGTCCCGCTCTTCAAAGAAGATAACTATGATTCCTCTATTATGGAGTGTTGGAACGACCCCTCCATGCGCCAACGAAACATGCGGAATAAGTACGAAGACGTCGATTTGGATGAGAAAAAGCGGCGTGATGCGTTGAGTGAAAGCGAGAAGAAGCGTGCGAGGGGTGATACGGCGTTGACGCAGATTATATGTTTTAACGGTGTGACTGCGTATCGGAAAGGCGGGTGGGAGGGTGGTTCGTCTACACTCAGCAATCCTGTTTACGAGAGGAGGGAGTGGAAGGATATGCGTGTACGCGTAAGAGTGCTTACGCAAGGCTTGGTGTATTGTCGCTGGGGACGGGCGCTTAGTTCGCAGAAGACGGCTTCGTTGGATAATGAGACGGGGAAGAAGATACATGGGGATGCGTGGAGAGAGGGTGGGTTTGTGCAGTTTACGGATGTGGAGGGTGTGTTTGATTGGTTGGGAAAGGAGAGGAAGGAGAAGGCGGAGGCGAGGATGGCTGTTTTGGAGAGGATGGCTGAGAGGGCGGATGCTGGTGCTGCTGCTGAGGAGACGGTGTTGCAGGCTGAAGGAGCTAAGAAGAAGGGGAAGGGGAAGGGGAAGAGGAAGCCGCGTGGGGAGATTGGGGACTTTGATCCGGATCGTTGAACTGAGGTAGTGTAGTCTTTGTTGGTAGAGCTTGGAAAGTGTTGTTTTGATAATCACTACATTACTACCGTGGAGCCATGCGTTGAACAAGGCCAAATGATGTCTAAAGTCAAGTTATCGCACCATCTCATGTTTGACGCTTTTGCGGAGATATGATACTTATCCAGATATGTGTTTCTGGCCGACTATGATCCGCCTCAAAAGGTCTTGTCCAATCTTGCACATATTAGGCGCCCGCAACGAGTACTCAACGAGACTGAGTGGTGATGAGATGTTGAAGAGGTGAATTGTAGAAACATTTTCGAGAGATGTCCATGACAGAGAATGAGGCTGGAATATTTCGGCCGTATTTCGAGGCTCCGATGAGCGGAATGTCGTGCACCGATTCTTAGAAGACACCCCTATATCAAAATGAAAACATGTTCGTTTGACACACTGTCATCGCTGTTACGACATCGTTGCCAGGCAGTACTTCGGTCGTGATGGGTCTCTTGCGCGTATGGTCGTTCCACACAGATAAGCATCTCGGTTTGTCGTTGTTGACGGATCGAAGGGCAAGAGGTAATCGGGTGTTGTAATGAGCACACGTGTCTTCTGATGTCAAGAGCCGTCCGTGACCATCAGGGTGAGCGAAAGAAGTCATGTACTCAGCATTACTCACGAAGCCTGACGATACCGACGATCATCCAATACAAATGATTCACCTCCAACGTGTATCCCACCGGGTAAAGCAAGCCGGACCTGCCACATTACGCCTGAACGATCGTCAAGTTCAAATTCCCATAGTATACCTTTTCGGAAGGTCAGTCCCTCTGGAATGTGATTGCGGTTCCGAGGGGGCATCGACTGATGAGTGCTGCATCTTTCGTCACAAAAGCCAGGGTTTGGCGGGATGACATATGCCACGCCGCACACATGCGCGACAGTGACGCGCGGGCTCGCATATCAACACACTGGATGTAGTTATCCCGAAGTGCGGGAGGAAGCTATTACTAGCATATTGCCGATCAGGTAGATAAGGTCGGCCATGCTCGATCCCATCGCCTCTAACAGCATCGTTCGCGGAGCAGTTCGCCAGCGTTAGGTTCAGCTGCCTAGAGGAACGATTCATCCTGTCGAGGTTGACGTCACAAGGCTGATCGTGCGCTCGTGTTGCCCATGGATGTAGGGCCGAAGATGATGTATTTGACCGAAGACAACATCACAACGTCTCAGCTGTCCAGGGCCGGAATCCTTCGATTGCATAGTCGGAGAACCTAGAATCGGTATTCCGATGTCAATCCATGTAGCACATCTGTTGAAGTCAACTTTGATCTCTGGCAGTTGCCGAATGTGCTCTGCGTGTATGGTAGCGGCCCGATAACGTGACCCAAGAAAGGACCGAGCCCGCGCTAGAGGTTCTAGCGTTGAAGCTTGAAATCATGCATGGCGCTGCAGGTGGAGGTGTGGAGATGGCGGATACAACGTATTAGACAGTGCAGTGTGGGTTCGAGACATCGTGTGAGGCGCCACAAGCGATCATGTTTCGGACAATTTCATGAAAATTGCGACTACCGAGTGGGATAAGTCATTATCCGTGTTGCTTGGTGTTGCATTGTCGACAACGTGACAGCGAGAGCTGAGCCTTTAAGCGAGGTGAGTTAGACTACTGACGTTAGACGATAGTAGCACGGGTTGCTATGGTCTGCGATTCGTCCCCTGGGGTAGGCGTGCCTGACGCCAAAAGCAATGACGCGCATATTGTGAACATGATGAAGGGCCGTTTCTAACCACGTAGTGTCGCAACGTTGGACACTGCTGGATCCGATTCAGGGAGCGTTTGGGGCGTTTGCGAGTGCCATGCGCTGGCTTCATGCCTGCTTGCTGGAGTCGTCACAGATGTTGGTACAGAACGTTCGCTTGATGTTCGGGTCAGTCTACGTCGACATACTTGGATACCAGAGTTACTTTTTACCCCGCAATTGGCATGACAGTGTTCTTGTCTGGAGTTGTAGCCGTTGTAGCCGTTACCCCAGAGTGTCTTCCCATGGTACTGTGAACCAGCGGAAAAGGGCCATGGTGCAGTTTGGACATTGATAAGATCGGAAGATGCAATATATCTGGAAGCAGTCTAGGAGATGATGCACTGTCGTGCGCTACCGGATAGCAGACGTTGTTATACCGGGTACGTCACGGCGGCAGTTGGCGGTGAAGGCTGCTAGCCAGGATTGGGGCTGGAGTCCTGATGCGATCTTGGGGCTTCGTGAATCTGACGATGCGTCGCTCGCCACACTTACTGCAAGAGTTGTACCAAGATGCGCTCGTCTCGGGTCGGGAGCGACGATTCAGCTGACGGTACCGTACGTGGCGGAAGGACGCTGGATTGGTGGCTGGTAACGAGAGCTGAGACGAGGTGCATCTCAGGGTTGGGGCCGTATGGCGATGGATGGGCAGAGTGACGTCGCCACCCAGCCGTGTGTCTGGCTCGCAAGTCGGAAGTTGCACCGGTTGTGCCTTCCGCCAATGGCGCTTGGCGGTGGTGTTGTGAACAAGCGACAGCGGGAGAGCCGCGCCCCAACGGATTCCGCCCTCGCCGAGGAGGCCAGTCAGCATAAGCATGACGAGTGCAGGCGCGTACCGTCGGTGATATTTCGAAGACGTCGTAATCCACGGGACGACGTCTTTGGTACGTGTTTCGCTGGGGCGGTGATGAGGTGTCTGGAGTGACACAGCAAGTGGGATGAAATTGGGACTGGTGTAGGGCGGGATCCCTCATTGAGCACGACGTGGGAGAATGAGCTGCTGCAGGGTCCAATGAAACGAGCGCTCACGACGTGAAGCGAGCCGGGCGTGACGTTTGCAAGGATGGCTGGCCTTGGGTAGGGCAGACATTGTTGCGGTATGAGAAGACTCCGGTGCTCGGTGCCCGTCACGGGACAGGCTGCATGTTTCGAATATGCAACTGCAGTCCGCCAGGAGTTGGAAATGAGGCTTGTGAGGCGGCCGTGGGGGTTTGGTGTGTGCTATCGTGTCGTGGTTGGTGGACGAGCACGACATTTCGGGTCGTCGGTAGCTTCAGCTATAGCAGTCAGGCAGTCAGGCAGTCGGTGATGCAGGCGGGTAAGCGACAGACTCGTTACCCCAGACAGGAAGACCATGGGGTAAAAAGCAACGCAAGACCTGCCGAGTATTGTCGCGGTGGTTAGTGATCACAGCGCTAGGTGCTAGAGGTGCAGTAACTTTGAGTTTGAGAGCAGACGATACTACATGTAGAGCATCAATAGGCAAAGGCATGTAGTCGTCCCAACAGCAGAGTACGTACCGCATGTAGCGCAGGCTAATGGCAGCGGCGGCGGTTAGTTGAGTGCGTGTGTAAGAGAGCCCAAGAGAGTCAAACAGCCGAGAGCAGTCCGGCCAAGATGATGCATTCTGCCGACCTGGCCGAGCAACTGGGTGACGGTTCGAAACGACGATGTCCATCGCTGGGGATGCTCGTGAGCGGGCTGGTGTGGCTAGGCAGGCGGGTAGGGATGAAGCATGTTGGGCGCGATGCAGACCAGGACCCTTTGAGTCGCAGCGAGCAGCCAGCGGAGCAGAGCCATGTTAGTCATATTAGTGTGCGGAGCAGGTGGAATTGCAGGGCAGACTGCAAGTGATGGTGAGTGCATGGGCGTCAGCGGCGGTTCGCACGAGAAGTGTATACACGAGCTGCTAGGTAGGGCGCTGGGAGTGTAGAGCCAAGAGCTGGCCCGGAGCAGACTCGGGTATAGGATGGTTCATGGCGAAGGCTGCGGTGGTGTTGCCTGCGCCACGGGCAAGGGCGACCGACGGTACTTTCCAGCAGCTGGCCAGGGCGCCACGCACGATGGCTTCTAGAAGAAGTTGTTGGCGATGCTACTGCACTGGGCCAGGGAAGCCTGCGTTGGACGGCGGCGTGCGAGTGCTCACTCGCAGACGCAGACGCTTGGAGTCGTCTCCATGCTCCGGCTCTAGTAGGGGCGCGTACCAGAAACCATGTGGCCGTGCGCGCCTCTCTCCCAAAGTTGCCTCGGCCGGCAGTGCCGTATTTCAATCACGAAGCCGGCGCTGGCCAGGCCGAGAGTCCACGGGTCATAAAGCCAGTATATGTTAACGGGCAGCCGTTGCATCGCTGCATCTGCATTCCGCCCATCGCCCCGTCACTCGCATCGCATAATCCGAGATCGCCCTTCGTCAGAGTTGCATTTTTGGCAGGAGCGACGCATACAGAGCACAGTAGCGCCAGCCCGCAATTGGCCGTATCCACCCACCGTGCAGGGATCCTCGAGGTCGGCCGCTCTGCCCATACTAACCCTCGTCGTCACCGCTCCCACTTGCGCATATAATCTACCGCGCCCCGGCACGGCTATTCCACGTAAATTCACTGGCATAATACTGAGCATATCGACTATTCCAGTTACCCTCAAACACATTTGAACACCATTATTATTCGGTGTTCCCACATTCACGACCACTGCCGACGACGCCACACACCCGCACAGTCATCTGAAACTGCGCCTAACGAGTCGCCGTTCCACTAGCATTCGTCCCCACTGCCCTCTCTACCCTTCACCTCGCCCACCGTGAAGCTGGATTCCTACGAGCACCCGCCACCCCTCTCCCACTCGCCGCGCGAATCCACCGCAGCGAGCACGCCCATCTCCACGCCTGTCGAGCAGCCCGCATCGCCGCAGTTTGGGCGTGGGAACAAGGACCCGAGCGCCGGCCTCCACCACCTCTGGCACCGCAAGCCCACGGAGCTTGTGGCCCGCCGCCAGCCCGACGAGGACGTGCTATTCGAAGACGCGGGCGACTGCAGCTTCCCCCTCTTCCCTGAGGAGCCGCAAGTTCACAGCGGCTTCGCAGACATGGCCACCGCCTCGCCCATCGACATCCAGACGCCCCCGCGCTATGGCTCCAACTCGCCCCAGAACCAGACGTCCAACCTAACGTCGGCCCTGCGCCAGGCCGAGGCCCAGCCCGACATGGCTACCACACCGGGTCTGCTCAACCCGAACAACTTCGAGTTCAACAATGGCCGCCCGAGCATTGGCGAGCGCCACCCCTCCATCAGCATGCTCGGCTCTTCTTTCTACGGCAACAGCGGCGCCCGCCCCATCACCATGAAGGACCGTGGCCGCCGCGAGAGCACCAATATGGGTAGCTTCGCAGGTGGCATGAGCTGGGGCGGCCACTCGGTCGGGTCCTGGATCCGCGACGAGTAAGTATCCACTTATCCCCAGTTGTAACAGCCCAAATTAACATTGGCACCAGCATCATGATGGGTACCTCACCCGCGCCCTTTGTGCAGAACTCTCCCTCCTTCCACTCGTCGTCCTACCTGCCCAAGATGGAAGCTGCCTTTATGAAGGACTTCACATGCTGCGGCCTCACCCTCGCCTCCCTGCACGACCTCCTGCAGCACTTCGAGGAGACGCACGCCAACGCACCGGCCGCCCGCCCACAACAGCAGCAGCAGCCACAGAACGGCTTCACAGCCACATCCGGTGCCCCGACCAGCTCCATTGCACCGAGCCAGACACAGGGCGACCCGGCCTTCAACACACAGAATGGCTTCCAGTCGCGCTCCGGCTCAATAGGCGCGCCCCGCCAGCGCATCGGCTCCGTCAGCCGCTCCAACTTGTCGACTGTGCAGGACATGGACACGCTGGACGACATGGACATGGACGACATCAACTTCGACAACCTCGGCCCCATCGAGGAGCAGCAGAACATGCAGCAATTCCCCGTCCAGAACCAGTTCAACCAGAACCAGAACCAGCAGCCCCAGCTCAACGTCAACGTCAACCTCGCCAACAACATGCAAAATCACCAGGGCATGCGCACATCGACACCCACCACCCCGTCTGCCTCGCAGCAGTTCAACCTCCAGAACAACCCCACCGTCTCGTCGGTTAACACCCCCACAATGGGCACCATGCCAATGCAAAACCACAACCTGACATCACCCGAATCCTCACACCCGGGCACTCCGGCTGAGCTCGACATGGACTTTGGCGGTTTTAACCCAATGATGGGCATGGACATGAACATGAACATGGGCATGAACTTCGCCAACGGCAACGGCAACTTTGGCATGGGCGCATTCGACAACAACGGCACAATCGACCAGCCCGGCAAGCGTCTCTTCAGCAAGCAGGGCGGCGGTCTGAACCAGGCTCAGCTGCAAGCTGCGCTCAAGAACTACCAGCTCAGCGGAAACGACCAGAGCGAGATGGCCAGGAGATTACGGGAGCAGCAGCTCATCAACGGCGCGAGCATACCCCAATTCCCCTTCCCCGAGGAGGTCAAGCCGTTCCGATGCCCAGTCATTGGCTGCGAGAAGGCGTACAAGAACCAGAACGGTCTCAAGTACCACAAGCAGCACGGTCACCAGAACCAGCAACTCAAGGAGAACGACGACGGCACCTTTTCGATTGTCGACCCTCTCACATCCATTCCCTACCCGGGAACTGTCGGCATGGAGAAGGAGAAGCCATACCGCTGCGAAGTCTGCGGCAAGCGATACAAGAACCTCAACGGTCTCAAGTACCACCGCTCCCATGCTCCCCACTGCAACCCCGAGTTGGCGATGCAGAAGCTTGGTCTTACTCCAAATCTGCAAAATCTTCAGAATGCGAATGTCGCTGGTGCTGGAATGGGCATCGACCCCTCCATGTTCTAGAACTCTATTTCTTCGGATCGCTCTCAACGCGTCTCCCAACCTTCTACTCTTCTCCCAATACCCCGATCTTCGATATCCGCGACGACGCTTGCAGCTTCGCCATAGACATTTTGTTTCTTTATCGGCTGATGTTGTTCAGCAACAACACGAAAAGTCATGACTCGTCCCGTCCCTTGTTCTTGCATCCACCTGGCGTTACATTTGGATTGGAGGATTTGTCTACCAAACCGAACCAACCAGGCCTGATAACCTTGGATAAAGAGACTCTTTTGGCTCCGCCTCACGTATTTCGCTTCCTTGTACATCCTCTCGAGATTGTACATCTTCCTTTTGAACCGGCGGCGGTATACACAGCAGCGCTTGGTAACGACGAATTCGATGTGCATTACAGAGGTGTTATGAGTTGGCTATCTTTGCTTTCAAATCGTCTTTTTTTTCTACGCGGAATATCCCCCTGAGCTTGATAGACTTGGGTCTCTCTTTTCTCTTTTTCGAAACGGCGTTCCTCTATTACAGAGTAAACAAAAAGTTATCCAAAATAGGACCTCGAGTTCCACAGGCGTTTTCATTTTCGGAGATAGTTGATAGACATGACGGCTATCCTGACAAGTACATCTTGGAGGGTTCCGTAATACCACACTCTACATACTTCACACTACTATTCGGTTCCTCCCTCAACTTCATCGTTCATCTCCGGGCTATGTTGTGATGACGCTCATCCAACTACACTTACCTAGCCCCGCCCCGCCTCGCCAAAATTCTGACAACCACCACACTAACACGCACGTACATGCAGATGCACTCATGCCCATCGCGCCCACCTTTCTGCGAACCAAAGAATGTCTTGCATGCCACCAATTCCACATCCACCCATCACACGCCCACATGTGCACTAAAGGAACATTTGAATTCTCCACATCCTTCCATCCGTCCACCCATCCATGCCGCCATGCATCTGCCATCTGCATACTTCCTTGCACACCGCTACTGATGTGCCGTTCTGATTCCCTTAGTTCCCTTGAAAACTTCTCGGCGGCTAAGCAACCTCCCACACCTGCGTGGAAGAACCTAAGAACACCTTCCAATACATCTAGTTCCGCTGCTTTCCCACTCCACCGCATACTCATGACCGTGCTCTCCTCCCAGACTTAACTCCAAGTAGAATTATCTGGGGGTAATAGAAACCACCCTGCCCCGCTTTAAACTCGATAGCCCCAGTAACACCCGCCCCTACGCATGAGCATGTTTTTGTTAGTTAGTCAGTCTGGAATATGTATGGGATGGCATCGAGCGGGTGCCGAGAGCTGCATAGTCAAGGTGCGAGCGGAGATTAAAGACGGAGGAACTCATGCACGTGTAGTTGCATTGGGCAAAGACTCGTGTGCGTGCGTACGTCAAGTCGCATATCGTACTCCGGAAGAACTTTTGTAGTAGGATCGCTGGAGGAAGAAAAGGGTTCGTGGGCACCCCCACAGCACGAGATCAACAATTCGCTGCTGTCGATGAAACCAAATCGCCGGTAACGCGGCTCTGCGTCGATCATCATCTGTCAGCTCACACTGTCCAGACCCTTCCTCCCATTCCCAACGATTTCCCGCAATACTACACCGTCCGTCCCCGTTCTTTCTTGACACGAATAGTTCCCCCAGTCGCTGGAGCATAGTCTCGTGGCAACGCGTCTATTGGCTGCGAGTCGGCAATTCAATTCGGCTAACTACGGCGTGCGCGTCCACAGCAGCCGGCGGGAGTGTCGAGGCCAAAACCAATAGACCCTACAAGCTAGGTCATGCGGCTCTGCACCTACCCTTTCGTCCTAAACTAGGCGCGGACTGACAGTGTCAATGCTCACGTACCAGCCTTGTCCCCAAACAGCAGTCCGCTTGCATGACGCGCAGCAGTACAACGATGAGCGGCGGCCTGTGGCGGGACAAAGCGTTTCTTGGCGGCTGAAGCGGCGGACGAGTCATCTACCATCACTACTACCATGGCACGTGGCATGGGACCTGGCGTTTCGCCCGGTGAGTGGCAATACGTCGGCATGTGATGGCTTGTACGCAGCTTGATAGCTGTAACCTTGGCATGAAGGGTACCTCGTGGTTGTTCGTGTGCAAGGGAACCCATTGTACGAATGCGGTGGCGTATTCCACGGCTACCTACCTAGTCACCCTGTGCCTGCAAAGCCCTCGGTACGTGGTAGCGCAAGTTGGTGGTAAGAACCAAACGGCGCGCTACACCGAACAGGCGACGGGCCCGGCTGGTAGTGATGGTAGTCAGATTAGCGATCTGGACACGGCTTGAGAGGGCGCATGTCCGATGGGACCTGGTGGGTAGGTATAATTGCGACAACGGCAGTTTCGTGGTTTGGTGTTAATTGTGTGCTTTGTGAATGGATGAGCTGAGGTCAAGTCGAGGAAATGTTCATCCATCGTTGTGTGACTGCCACCGTATATCGTATTAGATCTTGGTGATGCGTCACACGAGGAGCTTGGGCACTTCAGAACGCGGCATGGATGGGTTCAAGCACGCAGCGCTCAGACCACCATGCTTTCCTCGTCAACTTCTCACTCTTCTCGCGCAGTATCTTCACATTACTTCTGTTCTACATTCATCGCCAGTTGTACTATGCTGCCACGCGCTTACTGATGAACACAAAGCACCTTGGCGCTTATCCAAGGCCATGTAAGCTGCTGTGCTGTGCCACACAGTCGACTTGGTACTTTACCGAGATAATATTGCAAGCGATGTCGAGAGATAGACTGCAGCCGCGGCTGAACCGGATACGTTGCCCATCACATGCCAGATCGCAACAACGTATCCGATAGCTAGTTATTACTTCAACTACAGCAAACGGCTATCACCATACCCATCTCCTATCTATTAAGTGTTGCGCCTTTCTGAATCACGCATCTTTCCAAGGCTGGTCGCTTTCTACGATACCGAGCAGTTATGTCTACACCCGGCCCTGAAGAACCGTCTTTCCATCCTGTTGCGCGTGCGCCGGCGCCATGGAAACTCACGGCAGAGGTGTATATGCTGTTTCATGTGTTGAAGGGGTTGCCTGAGGGTGTGCATGGTGAGCTTGAAGGGAGAGAGGGTGGATGGGATGATGAGGCGATGGGGAGGTTTGAGAGGGGGTTGGGGACGGTGTGTATTGTTAGGTATAGGGATACGCCTGTTGGTATGTGAGATGTCTTTTCTGTGCATGAGCGGAGATGAGGCAGAAAGGAAGGGTGAAGGATCATGGATGGAAGGGATGGTGGGTATTGTGGATGTCAAACGCGACTTCTATTGAGGTGTAGGTGTAGAAAAGAGTGGGAAGAATACACTAGAAGAGAACACGAGATGACAACAATTCTAGTAATTCCTCTGACCTCATCACAGGCCCCTACGACGAACTCCTCCTCGTCCCCGGAAACTTCACCGTCCCACAACCAACAACCACCCCATCCGGCCAACCGCACATCAAGATCCCAAAGAAAGCCCAACGCATATCCCGCATCTATGTCTCCCAGCGCACAACAACCTACAACGGGCGCCTAAACTGGAACATCCCCAAACAGCTCGCTCGCTTCTCTTTCTCCGCACCACCAACCCCACCCGGCGCCTCGCCTCCATCCACTCTCACCGTGCAAGTCTTCCCGCCTGGCACCAAAGAAGGAGATGGCGGCGCACCGTTCTTTGCCTGTACTCTCAAACCATGGCAATGGGTTCCGCCAATGCCGTTGAACACGAAATACCTCCCTCTCAGCATGGCCGCCGCGCAACCTCCCCTGCCATCTGCGCCGGGTCATGAGAAAGCGGTTAAAGAAGTGCAAGAAGGACTACAGGTAGACGACTACGACACAGACATTAAGAAGATGGACGCGGTGTTAGTAGGGACGCAGAAGTGGCGGGCGTTTGATATCGCGGCCGTCACGCCGAGGGCGAGGGGATGCTGGGTTGAGGTGCATGAGAAGAAGGAGAGCGAGGCTGTGGAAGAGGCTGAGGAGAATTGGTGGCCGAGGGGACTGGGGGCGTGGAGTGTGGGGGCTTGGATGGAGGATGTGGATTGGAAGTTGGGGGAGGTGGTTGAGTGGACGGTGTAGGTATACGATGACGTATGCGGAAAGAGCGGACGTCACATCTGCCGACTGACTTTTGTCTGGCTATCCAGGTAGGCGCTGGAATGCGGTGCGTTTTACTATGTCTTCTCATCTCGTATAGTGAGGGTTGAGGAACTGCAACGCCCTTGGCTACGTGGACTGTCTTCTCATCTCGGGTACTGGAGTTGTAGAGCGCGCGCTGATGGTTTCCCATCGAAGCGTGTGGAAATGAAAGGCGCGCCTGCTGTGCGTTTGTTTACACTGCCTAAGTGCAGCTGCCTTGAAAGCGCGCACGAGCGCAAACCACGTGGGATTAGATTGGACCCTTCATTGTCACTTTACTGTCACTTTGCTCTCAGTCTAGCAATATCAGGTACAGGAACCGCGCGCATACTCAACTTCAATCACACTATATTCACTCGCGTGTATTGCTCTTTTCACATTCAGTTAGCCTCTACCTCCGTACACAACACCAAGCGCATGCCACTCAAACGCATGTTGATATTGGTGAGTGTGCGCCAAGTGAACCCTCAATCTGCAATCTCAACTAACATGGATACAGTCAGTCATATTGATAGATATACTATTCATCATGATGCGCTCTTTCTTGCCGTATGACGTCCGCTGGATAGCCAAGCTACTCCGCCGCGATGTACGCAACTTCCGGGCGAAGTACACTACAAGATCGAAGCAACAGGGAAGGCCCGTGGACCATGCGACAAGTAGCTCAGCGCATCAACAGGCCTGTATCAAGAACGTATCGCAACTGCCGCAAAGTGTTCAGTGCAGCGAACCGTCGTCACAGCATGCCGGCCAAGACAGCGTATACTCCAAACCACCCCAAGATAGTCCCAGAACTCTCCAAATCAGCAGAGAGAACTGTCCCAGTACACTCTACGACCTCTTAGAAAGCAGACTTAGGGTTACGTATGCTTCTCGCGACCGCGACATGTCGCACGAAGACCGTTGGAGATTCCGCGGTAGTTGGCTAGTGCTCCACAGAGCTATCCAAGAATGTCGTTCGGACAAGAGCGACGATGCCTCCAGCGTCAGCACGGATAAAGCTAGCGAGAATACAATGCTTCTGAATATGCTGAACCAAAGCACTCGATCACCTACACCCAAGGTCAGCAAGATGCCAGCTGCACCATATAGCCGACACGGCAGCGACAATGACCGCTATGACTCCATGTTCAGCGATTGTCCTGCACCCACAGTCACACCGTCTCCCACGCAGCTATGGCTATCCATTCTTGAAGCCACCAACGACACCCAGAAGATCGCACCAATGGCTGAACAGCTTCTAGGGTACATACCGCAAGAGAAGAAAGCTTTCGACATCATCGAGCAGGTCGGAAACCCCCACAAGAAGTTTTCCGATGCCGATGACGCTCAACTCCGACTTCAATTCCGAGCATTACTATGTCCGGAGACAATGTCGTCCAGACCATCATGCTGACTTCACCGCCAATGTCCAGCAGAGTCTTGGTTCTCGGCGTCTAGGGCGAATCATGCACCGGGTCGGAAAAGAAGTGTGCTGAAAACCCTTCGTCGGCAGCGGGCGATACCGCATTGCGAGTGGTTGCCGAAGCGGCAGAGTGGGTCTATTGGTCATGGCTCTTTACCCCTCCTGTGGCATCCAACGTACTTATACCGCTCGGGGAACTCGACTATGCAACACCAAACCGCTCGGGGAACCACAATCTGCGACTCAAATTCGGCGCGCATCATCGATTGGGAGGTACTTTAGGGCTGCGAGGACGCTTTTCGGGGACTGTGCAGGAGCTTGCGACATCTTTCACGAATTTGACATCAACTTGCCAGCGCAATAACGCGCATCGTCATACATATTAGACGAAACCTACCCCAAAACCAACTCGGCCCTTCGTATGAGCAGCGAACCAAAAGGCAGCACGCCAGGATCACTTAGCCCACACAACAACTTGACCAGAGTTAACACTTACCCTCACGCCGAATTTACGATCCCGCCATCGGACACACTGTCACCATGCCCAAGTGCCCAAACTCACAACGCCGATGCCCCGGCATCGGCCAACTCCAAGGAGAATCGCCCAAGCAACACTGCAACTGGAGATGAAAAAGCCCACCGACCTCTTGATGAGGAATCTCGATCAACATCCATCGCTAATGACGAAGTAACCTATCCAGAAGGTGGCCTGGGTGCCTGGTCGGTTGTCCTAGGGTCGTTCCTTGGACTCATCGCATCCTTGGGTATGATGAACACAGTCGGTATCTACCATGCCTACATTGCCGAGCACTATCTTGCAGACTACACCGAGTCGACCATCTCATGGATCTTCAGCATGTACGTCTTCCTGTCGTTCTTCTGCGGACTTCAGATTGGACCCATATTCGATGCGCACGGCCCGAAGCTATTGGTGCTGGCAGGTAGCATCCTGCTTTGCTTGTCAAACTTCCTGCTCGGGATTTGCACACTATACTGGCACTTTTTCCTCGTCTTCGGCGTGCTCGGAGGTCTCGGTACGTCGTTGATCTTCACGCCTGCGTTCGCCGCAGTCAGCCACTTCTTCCTGCAAAAGCGAGGCAACGCAACGGGTATCGCAGCAGCTGGAGGATCGCTGGGTGGCGTCATATTCCCGCTGGCGCTGGAGAAGCTGCTACCCAGGGTTGGCTTCCCATGGGCGACCCGCATTATCGGCTTCATCACGCTCTTCTGCTGCATTGGCGCCTGCTTCCTCATCCGCTCCCGCCTACCACCCAAAGCTGGACAATCAGTATGGCCTGATTTCCGAATCTTCCGGCATAAGAGCTACTTCCTGCTCACGGTCGGCATCTTCATGATGGAGTGGGCACTCTTCATCCCGATCACTTACCTTACCACCTTTGCGGTCAGTACTGGCGCATTCAGCCCGTCATTCTCGTACCAACTCATCGCCATCTTCAACGCGGGAAGCTGTCTTGGTCGATGGGTTCCAGGCTTCCTAGCCGATAAGCTCGGGCGCTTCAACAGCATGATTGCTGCACTCGCCATTTGCTCAGCTACATCGCTAGTCTTCTGGCTGCCCGCATCGCTACTCACCCCCACCTCCGCGGCCGAAGCTACGGCTATCAAAGCACTCTCCATTGTCTACGCGGTCTTGTTTGGTTTCGCATCTGGCTCCAATATCTCATTGACACCAGTCTGCGTCGGCCAGCTTTGCGATACGAATGTCTACGGCAGGTACTACGCTACCTGTTACACCGTGGTCAGCTTCAGCACGCTTACGGGTATTCCTATTGCGGGTGCTATCATCCAGGCCACTGGTGGACACTACTGGGGAGTGGTCATCTGGACCGCAGCTTGCTACATCGTGGCGTCACTTTGCTTTGTGTGGAGTCGCGCACTCCAAGTTGGCTGGAAGTTGGGTGTGAAGTTCTGAGGGTTGGTGTTGGCGGCCACGTGGGGTTGCGGGGAGGCTGAACGTGCAAGGACTTGCCAGCGTACTCGTCGTTGCCGTTGGACTGCGATTCGATCGCTGTAACAGGAGGATGATGCAATACGAGGGGGACACAAATTGGAAAAAGAAGGCGGGAATTGCTTTTGCGCACTTGCGTACTCGACTGTGGACGGCGGTTTCACGTCCTCTTACACTCTTTACTTGATTTTAGGACGATCTTCGCGGGCATAGTACACGAAGAATAAACACTCTTTCTTGCGCATGATCTTAGCAAACCGGCTCCCATTTTGAGTTTCAACGTGATACCAAGCTTGCGGATGATCTCCCGCTATTCGGAGCAGCCACCGCAGCTGGAATCTCTTGCCTCGAAATTCCCATGCATTACCGCGGCTAGAATTCGACTTTTCGTCCAATCTCCACTCAATAAACGCCTGCACACTCGACAAGATTGTTGCGGAAACATTGTACCCGTAGCATTGGCGCCGCCTGCTTGGCCAAAGACGACGGCGCGCAATAGCGAGGCGATGGAGGCCACTTTACCCCTGAGCCAATCCAGCTACAAACACGTGGGTCGGCTAGCGAAACGCCGCAAGCAGCACCGGGCGCACCTCCCTCCGAACATCGAGCGCGAAAGTATCGCGTCCTCCGTCGCCATTGACTTTGCTTGTTGATCTGCCTCGCGTCCATCGCCGTCACGACGCATTGGCTCGCAGCGTCCAACAGCAAGATCTGCACCGCGCCATTGCCCCTCTATAGTTAGTAGCGTCTCCGTCATTCGCGGACCGTCGCGAGCAAGCCAAGCGAAAAGACAACTGTACAACGCCTCTGGGATTCCTTCTGAGATGATTGACAGCAAGCGCTGTAGCCTGCAGGGAAGCGCCGCGGCGATCGTCCCAGGCGTACCGTTCCGCGAGAATGCGAGTCGTACATCTGCCGTCGACTGAATCCAGGCACCTAGCTACCCGTTTCGGGACTACAGAGAGGCGCGATTAGGTTTGTAGCACGACAAGGCACCCGTTATTGGTAATTGAACCATGGCTCCTAGCGGTAAGCAAGGCGAAATGGCACGACAACCGCGACGAGAATGACTTGATTCGTGGGCGCGCCACGATTTCAGCTCCTCCAATTTGGCAAAAGAAGGGGAAAGGTGGGGAGCGTACTTGTCAAGCTCCTGTCGCTCTTGTAGCTTTCTTCTGCGGTGGGTACGCGGATGCTTTTCTTTACCCTGCATATTTGCTTTTGTCGCTATCCTGAACCCTGATTGTCTGCTTTATCAGGCCTTGATGTCAGGTTCGCGAGCATGAAATCTAAGACTTGCGGTTGCCTTACTAGCACATACTCAGGCGACATGGAGCCCCCAATTCCCCGCAATATCGACCTTGATCTGGATCGGGATACGACGAGACCGACTGCGTTGAAACGAAAGGGTTCGACACTACAAACATCGGTGGAGGTCATGAGATGCAAGTTTGGGAAGCCAGCGGGATCACCGGAGGGTACTGGCGAGTTCAAACCATCGAAAGATTGGACACCGATATACTATGCTGTCTACCACCAACGAGAGGCAGCGCTCTCACATTTCCTACGTGCTGGCGCAACACCGAATGATGTCGCTGGTTTGGGTTTACCACCGTTATGCATCGCCATCGCGAACGGCTACGCCAGTCTCGCGAGAATACTGTTAGATGCTGGTGCCGATGCCGATGCTGCGATCAAGACCAGCGGCGAAACAGCGCTTCATATAGCCGTCAAGAATGGCCGCAGCGATCTCATCGAACTTTTGATCCCATACGGTCCCAACCTCGAGACGAAGACGAACGACACCGGCGAGACACCCCTCCACTACGCAGCGTCAAAGTCCGGATCATTAGCCACAGTCATGACTTTGCTCAAACATGGCGCTAGCTACGAAGCGCTCAACGGTCTCGGTCAGACGCCAGCCGAAGCTGCTCTACACGCCAACAACATACAAGGCGCCGTAGCGATCATCAACGCCGCACATGGCAAGCGCAACAAGCTGGAGAAGGAGAGGGAGATGCTGCTGAAGCACGTGAAGAAGACACAGGGCCGTTTCTCGGTAGGCAATGACCTCATTGCGGATATATTCGCCGCAGCTTGCGATTCGGAGTCCAACGTCCTTGTGGAGGCCATCAAGAGGGATGACGCGAGCTTGGTGGAGATGTTCCTAGAGAAAGGCTCGGATCCGGATCGCGAGACCGCCAACGGCCTTCGTCCCGTCTTCGTCGCATTGGAATGTGCCGGTGCGCCGGTGATAAGTGCGCTTCTGAAGCGCAACCCAGACCTCACCATCCGCGACAGAAAGGGCCTTACTGTACTCCAGGCCACCTTCGAGAGCCCACTAGCCCAAGAGAAGGAGACCATGTCTATCATTCTAGGTGCTCTCCTTGAGCAGGGCGCTGACGCAACAGTGACATACCCGGATGGCAAAACACTGCTTCATCATGCCGTATCTCCTCGTTTTAGCCATCCTAAAATCGCGCTTCAGCTCATCGACGCCGGCGCTGAAGTCAATGCAAGGGACCAAGACGGCGATACACCTCTCCATCTCGCAACGCACAGCAGAGTCTGCACAGAGCTGTTGCTGAGGCAGAAAGCGAACGCAGATCTTACTAATGCTGAAGAGCTTACGCCTTTGCTCAATGCTACTACGAACAGTACAAAAGACCAGGAGCCCCATCTGGAGTCTCTCATCAAAGCATCTGACCTCCGCAAGACCAACATGAAGGGACAAACGGCGCTGCATCTTGCCGCAGCCAATGGATTGGAGGGGACGGTGCAGTCATTACTACGAGCCCGAGCAAACACCGCCATCGGCGACAAGGACAAGAACACGCCGCTTCTTCTCGCCGTAAAGCATCACCAATGGTCCATCGTACCACTGCTCACGATACCACCGAGCATCAATTCCTGGGATGAAGACGGCATGAGTCCTCTCCATCTCATTGCTTGCACCATACCCAAAGCACCAGCGACATGGAACGACATCGCTGCCATCGTCGGCCCCTTCTGCGAACGCGGAGTCAGCAGAACTACGCGCGAGCGATCCGGTGCTACACCGCTCATCCTTGCCATCAAAACACTGCCGGAGGACGGTTTACCTGTGATCGAGGCCTTGCTAGCACAGAAGGCTGACCGCAAAGCGAGTCGGAACTGCGTCAACCACGAAGACCACAAGAAGCAAGATGCGCTGTTCTACGCGGTGACGACAGGCAAGCCCGTCTTCGTAGATGCGCTGCTCAAGCACGGTGCCACATTCGACTTTGAAGACTGGGTACCTGCCAAGAGCAAGTTGCAGCCTTCGGTGGCGGCCGATAAGCAGACCTTGAAGCTGTTCGCACAGTACGAGTGGATGAAGCGTGCAGGGTTACTGCGGAGACGACCTAGCAACCCTGTCGCGGAAGTCTCGTCATTCGCCACGACGTTGCCTGTCAAGGACCTTGAGCAGATGGTTTCGATGGGCTTGGATGTGAATGCTTTACCGCGATCAGCTCTGGGCGTCTCTTTGATATGCGCAGTCCTACGCCATATCACACTGCAACCGCCAATGCCAGCGGAGTACGTTCTGAGCATACTGAATGTGGTTCTTGATGGAGGTGCGAACCCGAATGCGGGCATTCCTCGAAGCTCAATGCGTTCGTCGTCGCCACAGTCTGCGCCAGAGTCAACGCAGACTTCGGTTCTTACTCAGCATCCACTCACCTTCTTGCTTGAAGAATGCCCGGAAGTTGCATTAGATATTCTGACACTCCTGGTAGCGAAGGGTGCACAGCTCACTATTGCATCTCCGTTTTCCAACGGCCGCTTACCACTTCACTCTGCGGTTGTGGCGCATCGATTCGATGTTGCGCAGGAGTTCCTGCTGCACGGGGCGGACGTTAACAGTCTCGATAACAAGGGACGAACACCACTCTTCATGGCCGCCGAAGGTGGGGATTGGGAGATCTTGAACCTGTTGCTTCGCAGCGGCGCCAGCATGGACACGCTCGATGTCGAGAACAACACACCCTTGCATGCCGCAGCTGTCGGTGGCAATGACAAGATTGCCTCCTCCCTCCTCATTGAAGGCGCCAAGGCGAACGTGAAGAACGTGGCTGGTCTGACACCAATGGCGTGTGTAGGCGACAACTATTCCGAGGAAGGCAGAAGCCTAATCGTAGCCATGCTCAAAGAAGCCGAAGAGAAGGAGCAAAAAGACGAACAAGACCAACGGAAACGCGTCGAAGCAAGAGCCGCGCACGAAGCCAAGATTCAGCAGCTCAAGGATAACGAAGCGAAAGCAAAGTTCCAACAAGAGCAAGACGCGCGCGTCCGCATCCAAAAAGCCAACGAAGAGGCCGCAGCTCAACGCCTACCCCAGCAACAATCACAATCACAGTCCCTCCCCGCCCCAATGCCAACATCACCACCCCAACCCACAACCCGCAAACCGTCCTTCCTATCCCGAAAAACCTCCCTCTTCTTCAACAAATCAAAACCCACCACCCCACCCCTCCAATCTGACAACACCCTCCCCAAACCAAAACAAACATCCATGCTCCGCCTCCGCATCAACACACCAACCCTAGCCACCAAACCCCAACCTCACCCAAACTCCCACCTCGAACCGCCAGTCATACCCAACCGCGCCATCCCCTCCCCCCACATCCTCGCCAGCCCCGACTTCTTCAGCACGGAGTTTAACAATATGATGGACCCAACACGGCCTGTTGTCGCGTTGCCCGCGGCGATACAGCGGCGTACGACTGCGGCGAGGGTGGATAGTGGGTTGAGTGAGAAGCGGGGAAGTAGGAGTAGTGTGATGGGTATACTAGACCTCGAGAAGGTGAATGAGAAGCTGGCGAGTCCGAAGGTGGGTTGTGCGAGGGAGACGACAAGGGAGAGTAATGGGGAGCTGGCGGATTGGTTGGCGTTGACGAGGATGATGGATGGGTTGTGATGCACTTACCTTTCGGTCATTTCCTTTTTCTTTACGACTTTTCTTGTGTATACCAGATGTTTCTTCTTTTCTTTTCTCGATGTTTCATAGCTTTCACGTTGGCGATGTCTTTGCGGCATATCCTGGAGTGCGATTCCCTTTGTAGTAGTGGTACTTGCCTGGAAGTATACGATGCTAGGATGTATATGTTGATACCCGGACTTTCGATTATGTACAATATACTTGTTGACCGATCTTCCTTGATAGCGCCGGACACTCGCTCGGCTTCTGCGCTCATCTATCATTTTTAGACGTCGCGATATACGATCTTCACATAAATGTAGTATGCATCCCTGCGCCTAAAAATACCGTGTGCGTCGGTCCCGGAAGGCGCGTTTGAAGTTCATCGCATACTGCGCACGCACACGGCACGGAAGCATTGCCTGCGCCTCCAGAGGACTGCGCTGTTGAATTCAGGCCCGCTAACGGCTTATAACTCCATTGCAGAGGGCGGTGTTTGACTAAATAGCTTTATCGAATCGCGCGCAGTTGCTGCAGCAGAAGACCTGCCGCATCGGTGGCCGTGGTGGTCGCGATGGCCGCATACGTCATCAGCTCTGCCCCGCTCTTTGCCCGTTGTCTCCACCACCTGGACTAAGGAATCATCTAACCACCCAAGAGCCTATGTACATTAACTTCAGGTTACCTACTTTGCATCTTTTTATCGTAACGTAGCCTGCAGACCTGTTCAGCTTTTGTCTTGTATGAGGTGTGCCTGGTGGTAGGTTGGCGTTGCTTATCGCAATCAGCGCGACTGACTTTGCCCCGCCTTCCTACCCGAACCAGCCTACACCCACGACAACCCAATATATCAGGACCGGGCGCGATCTACGTACTGCGTCATTTCCCGTGTATCTCCAAGCGGGTCGTTGCGCTGGTCTTCTTGTCATTCAGGCTCGGCCCGTTCTCCAGACGCGATCGCTATCAAACATCCACCTCCTGTTGCTCACGCTGCAACAAGCTTGGTCATGAGCTCGGTCGCATATAATCTCTCTCAATAACGGTTATGGCTGGAAGCAACTTCTGTGCTAAGTGCCTCGCGATCGTTTCAGCGGGGCCACATGAACAGCGCGGATGGGGTTACGATAGTCATGCTGACAAGGAAGAGTTCCACAGAGGGGTATCAGAAGGCTGTTACATCTGTAGTTGGATGTGGAGAGCGCATGAAAAGAGGAAGTCAAAGGAGCACTATGCAACCGGGCCGTTACGCTCTACAACGTACACCTGGTCGACCACTGAACCAGTCGAGAGAGGGGAGTTAAGGCTCTCTATCATCGGCGACGCAAACCACAGGGCGTGCTACAGTTCGCGCGAATTTTCACTCTTCAGCTCAGCTATTGCCGGTATCGAACTCGTGTTCTTTACGAATATCTATCATCGAAAGCTAATCAACGACAGATCGCTATTCAGGAATCCTCAATACGAAGCTGAAATCATCAATTAGGTCAGAGGAAACGTTCTCCTTAGTCAGAGGATGGATCAACCAATGCTGTTCGCAACATGTCGAATGCCAATCGTTAGCAGTTCCTGCCGAGTTGCCGACACGACTTATATGTGTGCAGTCAACTGGTAGCTCCAAGCTAAGGGCAAATATATGTCGCGGCGCTTCACTGCCCAGGTGCACGCCATACCTCACCCTTTCTCAGTGCTGGGGCGGAGAAGAGTTTTTAACAACTACGCATGCGAACCTCTGCGCGTACGAGTGCTCGCTTCCGATCGATAGCTTGTCTAGGACCTTCCAGGACGCCTTTCTCGCTACTATGAAGCTGAATTTCCAATACATTTGGATCGACTCCCTCTGCATTGTGCAGGATGACCCCGACGACTGGAAAAGGGAATCGCTTTCAATGCATAAAATAGACAAGCATGCTGCCTGCAACATTTCCGCTTCTGGCTTTGCTAATGGCAAAGAAGGCTTCATACTGAGTAATCGTCGTATCAATCCGTCCCCAGTGGCTATCACTCTCGGGCGCGCGGCTAATCAGAGCTCGTCTGAAAAGTCTCATTATTTATCATGTGCATTCCCATGGGAGGTAATGAGAGAGGGCCCTGTATTCAATCGTGCGTGGACGCTGCAAGAGCAACTACTTGTAAGTAACCTCACGAACCACGGAAGGAAGTTTCTCAATGTCGTCGACAGGCAAAACGAACGGTGCACTTTGATGATAGCCAAGTGCACTGGGAATGCAAATCGATGGTCGCAAATGAGGTTTGGCCCTGTGGTTGGCGGAATACTCACTTCGAAAGTCGCTTTCGAGAACGACCCGTTAGTAGCTGGAACTTCGACCTTAATAACATGCCAAAAGATACAGTGAGTTCGAATCACCTTACCGAAGTATGAATAACGCCCCAAAGAAACTAAATGGTGGCAGAAGTCCATCTACAACAGCTGGTTCGAAATTGTCTCAGTGTATTCCAATCGACGTCTTACGTTTGCTGCGGACCGGCTTCCTGCTTTAGCCGGCATCACCGCAGAATTTGAGAAGAATCTTGAAGATCATAGCGTGTACGGACTCTGGACAAGCGATATGCATCGCGGTATACTGTTTCGGCAGCCAGATGACACTCTTTACAGTCCACAAGACTCTCGAGACTTGCCGGAATGGCGTGACACACCAAGTTGGTCCTGGGCAGCTCTGGATAAACCCGTAGACTAGAATGCCTGGGGATTCTTGGGTCACAGGCTCACTCACCTCACCAACATCGAGTTCGTCCACGATCTGGGGAGTCTACGACTGCGGCTTCGCGAGACATTCATAATTTGCCTAAGCGAGTATCCGTCCTTTTTATCGCCAGGCAACGAAAATAGGCTGGCTACGCTCTTCGTGGGGCTGAAACAGAGCGGCTTCGAGTTCGAGCTCTACCTAGACCAATGGTTCGCCATGACTTTCAGAGAGCACCCAAGCCGAATCGCGTCGACGACCGCTCGGGACGAACGCCGTCATACTACCAAAGATGACCAATCTCTTCTGCAAAGAATTGTCATCGTGCCGATAGCGTGTTGCCTTTGGTATTGGGCTGAGCACAATGACAAGGTCGCTAATGTGTGGTGTCTCCTCCTGTATGCGCCACCCGGAGCTGAAGATGGAGTATATAGAAGAGCGGGCGTTGTCGCGGCCACTAAGTTTTTTAGGGGCTACGAAGACGTAAACACCGATATGGTCAAAGCCCAGTTCGAGGCGTATCGGAGGCCAGTGCCGCGCAATCTGTTTCAAGAGGAAGATGATCACGGAAACTATACTGTCACGGTTATGTAGAGAAGAAGGACCCGGGAAGTGAATGAATATGAACTCTACACATAATGCAGAAATTTGAATACGCGCAAAAGCGCAGCTAACATACACACCACGTCGCCGTACGCTCCAATCCTACACGGGTACCGAAACAGAATCCAGCAAGATCTTGACGCGATGTAAACTTCCAGGGGTTTAGTCTCTCCCTTGATCACCCGATCAAGGGGGACAGGACGACATCGAATACACACGAGCTCGAGGAGCAACATCTTTCAAGCATGTCAAAGCTACATCCGCACATCAACGTCATTCTCATGCCGCAGAGCCGACCCTATCACCATGAACCCGCATTAGATGATCAACCATCTTGTCCTTGCGCGTGAACCCTTGCCCTCCTTCCATCTTGCTCCTATTGCATCCATCAATCGGGCACCAAAAACGCGCAACGTCGTGCTTGGAGGCGTGGTGTCTGCGCAATTCGGGACCGCGACCGAAGGTCGCGCCTTTGCAAGGTGCGATGTTGCAGACGTGTCTGCGAAGCCGTCGCGCGCCGCTCTTGGGATGTGCGTCGTCCGTGTTGTGCTGGTTCCTGGATTTCGCGGGGATGGGCGGGAGGTTTGGTGCGTGAGTGTCGATGACGAAGTAGCGGGACTGATCGAGATCGAATTGGCGGGGCTTGGAGTGGATTGGTTTGGAGTGGGTTGGATTGGAGTAGATTGGGTCGAAGGTGTGAAAGGTCATGTCTTCATGGGAAGCGACGAAGTTTGGCCTGGGAGTAAGTTAGTTTCTGGAAAGTCGTCTTTGGGATAACAGGTCACAACATAAGTAGACATCATTGCAAAGCCTTCACAATACACTCTGGACATATTACAGTCATACGAGCATGTTCCAAAGGCTGTGCAAGAGCGTCGTCAAGTGGGCTTGGGCGGCGTGGATCAGTAAGTCGGGCATCGCAGTCGCAATTTCAACCGGAGAGCCTGAAGCCGAATTCATCCGGCTTGTGCGGTCAAATTCAGATATCAACGGGATTGAATTGTCTAGGTAAGATAAGAAGCTACTTGTATCAATGTGATAAACTTGCTAGCTACTTAATCCCGCCTAAATCTACTATCATGTCATTTGTGCGCTACTTGCTACGGCTGTCTAAAGAATGTTAGCATGTATGCCACAGGATCATGTTGTGGATAGGCTGACGTTACCTTCTTTGTGAAGTATCATGATACCGCGCATGTATCGCGGTACGAAAGTGTCGCGGGTCACACTGTACATATGGAATCATCGCAAGATTGAACCACTTACGCGAAGACGGTATCGCTGGGCATGGACGCGCGATGTGAACGTTGGTTGCCTGGTGTCGCGAAGGACCAAGGTGTAATACCATGAAGGGGGTGTTCGTGCATCATCGCGTCGGTGTTGAGCGGCGGTTGCGAAACGGGCATAGGTGCGGCGAATGTGTTGTCGAAGTGCTCGTACGGCATGCCTGAACGTTCGTTAGTTGGACTGTGATGCATATCATACAGGATTTGACCTACTAGAGGCCCGAATGCAATCTGCTTTCAAAGACTCAAACGCAGCGAGATCATCCTGCGGAACGAAACCAAGGTCAATGTCGTCGATGGAGAGGGAGGAGAAATCGAAATCGTCGATGTAGTCGGACATAACGGGAATGATGTGAGGTGCTCGGTTCCGGCAATGAGTATCTACGAGGTATAGAAATGGCAAGTATTGAGACGCGATGTTGAAAAAGAATATGTTGCTTTCGGGATCACGCACGCTGAAGTTTTGTATGTTCGCTGCGGCTGACGTGTGGCGACATTGCCCAGCTGTGCCCTACAGTACCCTGCTGTAGAAGGGTAAGAATAGCCACAAGGCCACGCATCAGCAAGTAGGACACTCGCAAAGTGATTATTCATCGTCGTTAACCCAGAACTCACCGCAACCACTTATTACGCGTTTATTTTAAGGTTATTCTTAGCTACCGCAGTTCAGCACAGAGACGATAATTCCGAAATTCCGACGAAGAGCCCTAGTCAGCCACCGTTGTCAAGTTATTATCCCGCGAGAGCCCTGCACCTCTATTTATCCCCGTGGAATATAGCGATGCAGCAAGGGCTGGATGAATTGAGAACTACGTCGTGGCGCGATCCTCGTGATGGTCCGTCGAGAGTTCATCAAAGCTATCGCAATCATACTGTATACCAAAGTACAATCTCAATGATCTGCCCGAAGGACCAGACCGCAGCGTGAGTCAAACGCGCACTCTATTGATTCTGAATCGTTGAGAGTCGCTACAGAGTATGGAAAAACCAGATTCGGTGCTGCATGTCAGCGCGAGCTCCAACCGATTACCGCCAATCAAAGCAATTCGAGCTACCGAGTGGCGTGCAATATAACAACAGAAAGGAACAGCAAGGTAGACAGTGTAACTTGTGTTTCCATACCTCTTACAGCAAGAGTAAACACATCGAAGCCGTTATACCCAAAGTTATCTAAGGCTGCATTGGTATGTCAAAGAGGCCTACCTCTAAACATAGTTCCCGCAGCAGCGTGGCCGATCTCTCGCCATACAATCTCTCAATTACGTCCAACGTGTCTAGCTCTATCAGCGTCCGACAAGTCTCCGGGGCGCCATCGCTTCGACCACTAGAACAGTGCAGCCCGGGTTTTGTCCTTGAACTGCCTAGAATCGGTTCATCACTCTCTGAGCTATGTTTCTCGTACACTGACCCCGGATACGGGTCGTGAGCATATAGCTCCGATCCATGAGCGTTGTTGTCGACAAAGACACGCGGACAGAGATATGTCTCTAGTAGTACAGGCGTCGCTGCGCATGTAGATCCTCGTATCCTTTTGAGAAGCTTCTGAGCTCGAGAATACACCCCGCGTTCGGCGCTGTCTTCGACACTAATCAACAAGTCCGGTTGTATTGACTCTTCACCCCAGGCGTGCCGTACCACTTGGTACACATAGAACATCTGACCCAGTGATCTGAAATCCTTCGGCTTCTCCGCGTCGGGCACAAAGTGCATAAATCTTGTCCAGGCTGATTCGTGGACACCGAGGTCGTCGATAGCTTGCTGCACCGATGGAAGCGTACGTTTCATAAGCGACTCGCGGATGATCGAGAGGATTCGCTCGCCACCCGGGGTGACGCTGATTGCGCATGGTTTGATGGATGGGTCTCGTCGCAGTAGCTCGACGTGGAGATAACCACGGAAGATATGCGAGATCTGCTCATGGTGCGTCTCTATAGCACAGAGCCAATGCAGAGCCTCGACGAATCCACAACGACCAGACCGCAATACATCGTCGATTGTCTGGTAGTAATGGAAATTGGGAATGTCCAAGCAAATCTGGGGTGGTTGGTAAACTTTGTCGCCATTCATATGAGTAGTCAGCTCCGCCGCGGGTCGGGAGGCGATGGCAAGATCTGCGATGGCTGGGGCACTGCGAGCAATGTACTCCAGCTCGTAAAGTGTAGCTCCGTGGTGCTGCTCATTCTGTAGGTCGATAATCGGCACGCCCTTAGTAGCCGTGGTCATGGCCTTGGCCGAGAACAAACAGATTCCCGATAGAATAGCGACATGGCGCGAGCCAGAAGTCAAAAGACTTTGGAGCGCAGCCTTCGACGATGGTCCAGCGAAGTGCAACCATTGTGTAGAGGACACGATGCTCGCCGGTGTCAGAGAAGTCGGAAAGTCAAATGTGGTCTCGACGAAGAAGGCGATTTTGTTTGTGGCCCATTCGTGATGCCCCCAAGGGTGACCTCCAACAATACCATTAGGCGAAACGGTAACCTTACTCTTCTTGTTGCCCACAGAGCTGATGAGCTGTTCGAATCTTATGGCCGTTTCTTGCCCACGTCTTACTGCTCTCCTGTACCGAGGATGCTCTAGGATCTGGTCTCTGCGGATGCCTTCGACCTGAGTAGGAAAGTATCCGTTGATCTTCGTCGGGAAGCATCGCATGCTGGCTCCAGTTTCGTAGAAGCAGATCGTACATATGTCGTCGCTTGATGTTTCCAAGTTGGCAATCGGAAACTTCATTGTTTGCAGTCGGGGTCCACGAAGTGTGCTTGGACTGCAGAGTCGGCGACTCCAGCTCTGTTCAGCTGAATTCAGCTGACTTATATGACCATCCTCGATCTGCTACGGCATCGACTTCATTCATCCTTCAGGAAGAAGCATCCTCGAAGCTGGGTCCCAGCGACCCCCAGGAAGGTCTAGTATGCGAGACCTCCCTCACTTTCCCTCCACCTTCCGAGGCGGTCACACATGTTCTGGCTTTGGAAAGCCGAGAGATGGTGTAAGATATTGTGGGTACGCGAAGGATCGCATCCTACAATGGACTGCCTTGGCCGCTGTGGCAGTCCGCGCCTCCATGCGAAGTCAGAACAGCCGTGCGAGACTCACTGACCGCCGCGTCATCTCACTTCGCTGCTCGATGCGATACGATGAGTACCTTCCTTCTCGTGGAAGCAGAGCGCGATCGTTTGACGCGAATTGGGCGGATAGTGTGCGAGACCTCCACCTCCCACCCATGAAATCTACTGACCACCGCGTGCGGCATCATCTCACTTCGCTCCCCAATGCGATGCGGTGAGTACGATCCCCTGAAATCGATCTTGCGGAAGCATATTCCGCGGGACCAGCCAGCGGCGTGGGCGGGTAGGTACCGACCTCAGCTTGGGGGATGACCACTCCTCCATGCGAACCTCACAGACCGTCGCATCACCTCACTGTTCGAGACCTCCAGCGGCGCGGACGGGTAAGTGCCGATGTCAACTTAAGGGATGATTGAATTGAGAAGGGAAGCGCCGGATAGTGTGCGAGACATCCACCACGCGGACGGGTAGGTACCGACCTCAGCTTTGGGGATGACTACGCCTCCATGCGAAACAAGAACAGCCGTGCGAAACTGACAGACAGCCGCATCATCTCACAGTTCGAGACCCCCAGCGGCGCGGGCGGGTAAGTACCGATCCGATGTCAATTTTGGGAATGACTGCATTGAGAAGTAGATCGCGATTGGTTGACGAAAGTCGAAGCGGAAGCAAGTTGCCTAACAAGTGTTAGAGTGAAGGATGTGAAGGATGTGAAGGATGCGCGTAAGTACGGAAGTCGCGTTGACGCCGATCTCGCCCTTGCTTAACGACCAAAGAAGGCCGCCCTTGCTTACTGGCGAGGAAGGAACACAATGGTCGGCGAGGAAGGAGCACAATGCGTGGCGAGGAAGGATTACACTTGACGACAAGGAAGGATCACGATGCTCGTCGATCGGAGGAAAACTACTGTAACCGATGCCGCGACCGATAAGAAATCCGAAAAGATGAATGTGCTAAATTCGAAAGCATGGGAAGTGATGACTGTGTCTCACTCACCGCCGAGATGACGGGTCTGCCCATCTAGCACATCAGTCAAGACCATAATCGAAAGGAAGAACTCAGCGTAAGTAGCAAGCAGACCACGTCGCCATGGCGCATAAATTGGGTATCAATCTTCAGCTCGTATCTCATCTATCCAGTATCCAAACAAGAAGAAAAGTCCTTCCTCGCTTCATGCGCTTCGTCAAACGTATCGACATCCAAAAAGGTCCAAGAGAGGAAGAAAAGAAACCCAAACGCCAGTGATGCAATCTATCAGAATCCAAAAAGACCAAGGAGATAGATGGTAAGAGATGTTTCATATATAAAGAACCTCCTTATACACACGCACGCGCTGTCGTAATATCCGTATGCATGTCCGGGGTCTATGAAGCCTCAGCCAAGGCCTCACCAAGCGCATCCGCATCGTAGTCTTGCACCACGACCTTGGCCGGCGCATCGGGGACTTCGTCGAAGAAGCCCCAAATGGGTCCGTTCTGGTTCACGCCGCTCGGCCTCAGCTTGGGCTTGTCCTTCTTCTTCGAGCCGTCCGCATTCGTGGTCGTGGTGCCTTCGCTAGACTGCGTGTCCTGCGTGGACTGGGTTTCCTGGCTAAGGATCGAAGGCGCGCGTGTAGCTGTTGGCGAAGTAACGGGAGCAGGCGATGAGCCCCATTTGCCAAAGACCCAGCCTCCGACCTTCTTTGTAAGACCGGGGCCGCTGGAGGGCTGGGGGCCGTCGCTCTTCCTGGGTCCGCGTTTCTGGTTCGCGATGCTGGAGTAGAGGAAGTCGCGGTTGGCCATGCTGCTTTGCGATGTCTTGTTCGAAAGCGTGCCGTGCGCGGTAGCGGTCCAGGGTGTGAGTTCGGGGCCGACCGAGCCAGAACTGCCGGGCGTTGCGAACCTCGCCGCATTAGAGTATAGGAGTTGTGAGGGACGTGACTGCAGTGTGTGAATGTCCATGCCGGAGACCGAGATGAGGGATTCGTGGGAGGCGTGGCGGCGTAATCCGGGGCGCATGGCGGTCATGGGCGAGACGAGGTCGTCAGGCTCAAATTCGCCGTTGGACGTCATCAGCGATGGCTCGGCCGTCGATAGCGAGGAGTCTTCGCTTTCCTCCGGGATAGCAGCCTGAGGCTCCGGCTGGAGGTAGGGCGAGAGCGTAAAGCTGGCATCTGAGAAGGAGTTGGCGGGGCTGACGGCTGATATGACAGCCGTCGCAGGACTGCTCTTAGCAGTGAGGGCGATGGGCGTGCTTGAGCTGCGCATTGTCGAGAGGCTTGGTGGCATGAGGCCGCGAGACTTTCGTCGCAGATGCTTGTTCCCACCCTTAGCGACCTCGAGAGTGCCAGACGACCTTCGCAGCATGGGCGGCAACGCATCCGGATCGGAGCTGTAGTCGTTCGATTTGACGGGCCCGAACATGGGAGACTGGAAGTCGATGGAATCGGGAGGGCTGGTGGGCCGGGAAGAGTCATAGGCCTCGCTGAAGACACGGTCGTACATTGACCCACGGTGTGAGTCCGAGACGGGTGACCCTGCGAAAGACCCCGGCGTGAGGGTTGATGCCTGAGACCATCTGTGCGAGTTAGGCACAGTAACCGCAGTGTGTTCCAGAATTGTAGCCGTAGACGAGCGATCGAGAGTTGCAGGCGGATCGAAATGCGTCGGGGTGAGGGAGAAGCGCTTCTTCTTGGGCCGTCGCTGCGCCGGTGGCTTGGGCACGTTTCTGGTAACCTTTGGGCCGTGGTAGTGGTGGTGTATGTGCAGTTCCTGTTGTAGCGAAGCTTCCTGTTCCATTTCCAGTTCCTTCTGCAGCGACGGACTCGTGACGTCCTCATCGGGGCGGGGTGACGTCGAGACAGGCTGGTGAACCTTGAGTTGGTCTCGCAGGCGTTCGACTTCCTCGTTGGAGTTGCCCAGTAGCTCGCGCAGTTCCAGTATGCCGTGTTGCAGGTTCGCGTTATCGAGTAGAATGTCCTTAACAAAGTGGGAGACGACGTTGGGCCCGCCCTTGTCCGTCCCAGCTTTGGCCTTGAGCCTGCCCGCAGCGGTGTGGAGTTCGCCCTCGACGACCATCCTCCGCTCCATGCGGGCCACGACCTCCATGTGGCGCTGACGCTCGGCGCGGGACTCCTTCTCGATGCGGTCGATCTGATCCTGGAGATCTCCTATAGTCCGCTCGGCCACCTTCCACCGCTGTATGGCTGTGCGCTCGTCGACGATCTTGGCGTCCAGGCTGCTCTGGATCTGCGACTGCTCTCTTTCGAGGTCAATCAGCTGGCGCTCGAGCAGCTGCGTGCGTGCGGCCAGAGAGCTGAGGCGGTCGATCTCGTCTTCGGTGGAGCGCAGCGTGTCCTCCAGCGCGCGGATGTGGGCGTCTGACTCGGCGACGGCGTTGTTGAGCTGCTCGAGCTGGTCGAGGAGGTCGCGGTTCGCCTTGATGGTCTGCGCATTCTTGGCTTCGAGCTCGATCTTGTCCTTTTCGAGCCCTTCGATGGTGTTGATCATCTCCTTGCGCTCGCGCTCCGAGTCGGCGACGTAGGCCTCATGGCGGACGAGCAGGGCCTGCAGGGCAAAGGTTAGCGGCATGCGCGGTAGTAAGAGCCGACATGCGGGAGTGAGCGACGTACCTGGCCCAGCTGTGCAGCCTTGGAGACATCTCTCTCCAGTCCTTCTAAGAGTCTTCCGTTGTGGGCGAGGAAAGCGCAGTCATGGCTCCCACAACAGCAGCGAGGCCCTGGCATGGCACCAAGGCCGGCCGAGTCCATGTGTACGACCCCTCCGTTCGCGTAAACAAGTCGTGAACAGCCGGCGGGAGCAGCGTGGTGAGTTAAAAATGCGTCGCAGAGTGGTGGATGGTGTCGCTCATGCTCGAATTAATGCTGGGCGGGTAGGAGCTACATAGAAGGGAGAGAGCGGTGGCAGGAAAAGCAAGCGTCGAGGGAGTGAAGCGTCGTGGTGGTCACTAGCCGGGCGCGTCGAGGGCTGATTTGTTGTTCCTGACTATGCCGGCAGGCGGACCACGCTCCACTCAACCACCTGTCCCTGCCAGCTCACACTCCCCGCCCACAAGCCTGCCACCGCCTTTTCCACCACCCCATTCCCTGTTTCTCCCACACATACACCTCACTCGTATCCGCACGCGCATGTGATATTACACTTTGCGCGCATCCTTCACTTCTTTCCCCAGGCATCGTGAACGAATTTCCCTCACCAGGCCGTCGACGTCAACGACGCTCGGACGCACCGTTTTCGATACCCCTGCGCAAATTCTAAGATTGCACATGCGAACGCCAATATCTCGCAATCTTAAGCCCAAAACAAACACGACTGTCTTGGCGGCTGCCTCGCGATGACTTCGCTGACTTGGACACACTCAGGTGTGAGTAGGCGAAGATGAGTAGGCAGGAAGGTGAGTATATAGGTTGCATGCTGGTGAGTCCCAGGTAGGTCGCGCATCTTCATATCAAGTCATTTCCATCATCTTGTCAACCCCGCGTCACGTGAACCACTCCAGCTTGTCCCCCAGGATTCAATGGCTCAACAAATGATTTCAAAGACTACAACGATGCGCATCGCTTCTTTGATACGGATTTCTCCCTACCTACACAAGTCACCGTCAACTCGACTCCTCAACACGCGCCGCCTCCATATCTCAGCGCCTTCCTCCAAAGACCACGACCCTTCAACACATCGACCAGCTCGACGCAACGATGAATCCCCGCTTCCCTCCTTCAACCTCTTCAAGCTCGTCCGCGGTGCCAAGCCAGCAGTCCGCTACACCGTCTACGCTGGTCTCGGTTTGATGGCTACGGTTGAGACAACATTCTGGTACCACGTGCTACGAGCGAAGTTCTTCCCGCGGGCATCAGCAGAAGAGCAGGAGAAGGCTGATGCGCTGCTCCAACGTTTAAACGAGGCCATGAAGAAGTACCGTCATGTGTGGATGGCGAATTACAACCGCTACTACGGTGCGCATGTGTGGGGGTTGGGGTATGGTGGGCTTGATGGCCTGTAAAGTTGATCAGTGGTGAGCTCTGCTCCATGCCCGCCATCGGGCGCATCGTGCATAACGAGGCGCAATTTGGTAACAACCCCATTCATACCCCGCATTCGGTGTCCCCGGGCGCCATATCAGCCTTGCAAAGGTTAGATCTCAACGAGACTACTACGGACATAGCACTTTCGTACTGGCTCACTGTATATATATATATACACTTCCTAACTTCGCTCGCTTCACCCATCCTGCAGAAGTCAAAAGTGCTATGCGCCGACTTGAAACAGATGATGATCTGCCTGAAGATAGGGACCGATGCGATTGGGTGGCAGCCTCGTGGCTACACCGGTGAGCGACGGATCCGTCCCTCCGCGTTATGCATGCGTTGGCTCCAGTTCGAGTGCGTAACTCTGGTTGGCTCAGTTCTTTTGCGGGCTGGCCCATCTCTCTACTTATAAGCCAAGTTTGGTCCTCTGTCGGTTGTCGACTGCGCTTACTGTTGAGAATAGTGTCGCAGATATGAATTTCGGCGACCCACATTGTGTTTGGATACAAAATGCACACGACCAGCCAATCACCGTGGAACTCTCGCCAAACCGACCACATCGACAAGTAACCGATGTTGAGGCTAAAGCTTCTAGCACTGGCGGGGGAGGTGCGGTCAAAGCTTCTGTGAGAGCTCTGGTTCTATTGTCTACTGCACTCCCAATCGCTCCGAGCCCGGCACTTACGAAGTAAAACTAGTTGTACGAGCTCGATTCAACGGTCAAACACGTTTACCCGGGCGAAATATCTAGGTTCACTATCGCGTCGTCAAGAGAAGACTACGGCATTATCTCGATATACCCCGCCTACAATCCTGAGGAGCGTTGGTACATCAAGAACGATCGGGTAAAGGCTGGTACGAAAGCAGTGTTCTGGGTAAACCGGGATCTAAAGAGATATGCGTATAACAAAAAGCTGATGAAGGATCCGAATTCTGAGTACTATGTGCCTGATCTTTAGATCGGGTGTTCTCGTGGTCGAGTAGTCTGAATTGACGTTAGAATGGCAGGACTGGTTTTACCGCACCGAAGACACTCGTGAACGGGACTACATCTGCAATGTGACAGCTTTTCACCTACGCTGTGTCGTCGTGTCTGTCACAACAAGCTGCCATGCATGGCAAAGGCGTATCCTGCAGCGCACATATGAGCAGAGTGCCGTAGTACAAGCTTGTACCGCGCCTACGGCAAAGGTCACACCTTACTTCCTAATACTGGCGCACAGCCTTGGAGTCATCGCCCTTATATAGTGGGGCACGGTAGGGCGCAGCTGGGCAACATTGTCGCATCTCAGCCGCATCAATCGATCACAGAAAGCATCGTCTTCCATGAAAACGGCCGCTCTCTTACCATTGCCACTGAATTCGATGCCTTAATTCCATATACCGAGTCTTTTGCACGCGCAACCTCTTCAAACAAATTCCACGTTGTCCACATCATGTCCGATCACGCCGCCAACCTCGACTTGTGGTTGTCCTTTCGCGACAATATCATCGCGGACTTCGCTCCCCAAGATGATCCTGTGACTACATTCGCTCCTCAAAAAACGCTCCACGGCCCTTCCTCTGGGAAGCTCAGTATCGCATGATGTTCATCGACGTTTGACTCACATCTGATCCTGCAGCATCTTGAGCGCACGTGTTGGCCGGAGCAGGATATCCATCAGGAACTTGCTCCGTTTCGCATATACCATACTCAGCGCTTCTTGACGATCATCGCTCCCTATGCCGCACTGATTAGCAAGGGCTTGCGGTGCTCAGCGCGAGCCACCTACGTCATCGCGACTTCATTGCTTACGCGCATCCTTCACTCCAACACTGCTCAGGTAAATGGCTATCGCGTCAACCAATCGCGCTCTACGTCTCGTTATCTCCAAATGCGGGGATTAGGGTTCTGGCTTTCGCTAAAGGGCATTCACTTTCCACTCAAACCTCTCTCCCATCGCTGGAACGTTGACAACGATGAAGCTCATCCCCAGCAAGATACCGGGCTACGCGCTCGCATCAACCTTCGTTGCGCTTGGTGGCATACTGAATGGGTATGTTGTATATGTGCTTAACCTTTCTTTCCACACGTCGCGCGTCTTGTTCAGCATAGACGCGAACCAACTGACTAAGATGCCACCAGATTCGACACAGGCTCCGTCGGTGCCGTCACCGAAATGCCTTCCTTCACCCAAACATTCGGCCACCTCACGCCCACCATGCGCGGCTTCACCGTCTCTCTGATCATGCTCTGCGGCGCCATTCCAGCAACAGTCGCCGGCCACCTTGCCGACCGCTTCGGCCGCCTCCGCATCATCATCGTCGGCGCCATCCTTTGCACGATTGGCTGCGTCCTCGAATGCGCTGCCTTTCATCTCAGTCTCTTCCTCGTCGGCCGCGCATTGATGGGAATTGGTCAAGGCTTCGCGCTCACCAACATCGGAGTCTACATCTGTGAGATCGCGCCGAGTCGGAGCCGTGGTAAGTTTGTGTCGTTACCGCAGTTCGGCGCTGCGCTGGGGGTTTGTGTTGGCTATTTCTCGTGCTATGGGAGTATACACATCAATGGCAATATGTCCTGGCGTCTGCCGTACATACTGCAAGCCGCCTTGGCAACGATATGGGCTGCGGGGTCCTTCTTCCTGCCTGAGAGTCCGCGATGGCTCATCTTGCACGGCCAAAGAAGTCGAGCGATGCAAGAGCTCAAGAAGCTGGACTTTGAAGCCGCGGAGGCGGAGAAGGACGTCCTGCGACCCACTGAGAATGCATCCCCTGAGGAGCAAGTCGGCATACTGCAGGGCCTGCGCTTGATCTTCAGAAGTGAATACCGATCGCAGACATGGCTCGCGGTGTTCATCCTGTCGTTTGTTCAGTTGAGCGGCATCGACGGCGTCCTTTACGTATGTTGTGCCCCCTAAGGGCGTGCACTCACCTCCGCATGCTGATCAAATCTCGCAGTACGCCCCGACCATCTTCGCACAAGCAGGAATACCATCGCAAACTGCCTCTTTTCTCGCCTCCGGCGTCTCCGCCATCCTCATGCTCGCCTTCAGCATTCCCGCCACCCTCCTCGCAGACAAGTGGGGTCGTCGCACGTCCGCCATCTGCGGCGGCGTCATCCTCTCCGGGACCATGCTTCTTATCGGCTCTCTGTACGCCGCGAACGTCGTGCATTCGGATGGAGCAGCACGCTGGGTTGTTATCATGTCGGTCTTCGTCTTTGCAATTGGATACGTCTCGACGTGGGCCATCGTAGGCAAGATTTACGCGTCTGAGATCCAACCCACGAGGACGCGTGCGACGACGAACTCGATGGCCACGGGCGGTAGCTTTGTAAGTCGAGTCCTTTACTCTGCCTTTACGGCCTTCACGGTCTTCACTGGTATCGTTGTCGCGCGATCTTTGCTGACCTCTTCCACCAACAGCTTGCGAATTGGCTCGTTGCGTTCGCGACGCCGGTCTTCCTCGCAAGGTCGGCGTATGGTGCGTACTTCCTCTTCGGCGCAATTGCGCTTTTAACGCTCGTTGTGCTCGCGACGTGTATGCGCGAGACGCGGGGCTTGTCGCTTGAAGACATTCAGGTCTCGTTCGCGCAAGCTTCGTCGCGGGGGTTCGGGATTCCTCTAGGCTTGGTACGACGGCGCGGGTTCGAGACGTAAGCTACAAATGTAAGAAGAGAGAAAATGTTAGAAGAGTGTAGAAGTAGAAGAAGAAGTCTACAAATATACTCTACTTGTAATAGACTATACCTAGAGAAGTTCTTAGCTAAGAGCCTACCTCTAAGCGACTGCCTAGAATTCCACTGCGATTTATAATTAGCGCAGGTTCTACTCCCTGTTAGTCGCGTTAGCGCGGGTTTTACACCTCTGTTCTCGCCTCTCTTTCCCCCTCTATAATAATCTTCTCGTCTCTTCTACCTTCTCTATCGCCTCTCTACTACCTCTCTACTACCTCTCTACTACCTCTCTACTACTTCTTTACTACTATACTACGCGCTATAACGCTCTCTACGCTCTTTGCTATAATATTAACGCCTATTATTTACCTCTATAAATATAATTACCTCTTTTATACTGCTTATAAGAGCGTAATTATATTTTAAAGGCTTAACGCCTATCTTGCCTATACGTATTATATTTACGCCTATCTATATAAGCCTACTATTGCAGCGTTTTAAATAGCAGCTATTACGCAAATATATAATAATATTTAGCCTCTGCCTAATAGAAGCCTGCTACTTCTCTTTCTTACTGCACTAGTTCTTAGCTACGCTTATAAAGATTGTAATTTTAAGATAACTAATTAGAATTACTTTTAGATACACGTCTGTATAACCTATAACTTATATAATATAGCTATACTAAAGGCAGAGGTTGCTTACTCTCTATAGGCTTAGTGTATACTACGGAATAGCTATATTAAGTACTAGCGCGTAGCTACTAAGAAAGTAGACACTTCTCTTATAGAATTACTATATCTTTGTAATAATAACGCTAATCTTAAGCCTAAACTTACTACGCTTCTTAAAATTAAAGTAGACGAAGAGGCTCGCCTTATAAGCGAGGCGTAGGAGTTTATATACTAGTCTTAAGAACTAGAGCACGATAAGAATATAGACTAGCTACGTAGCTGTAGGTAGCTACGCTAGTTTACCTACAAACCTTTGCATATAGTTACCTCTACTACCTAGATACCTTAGCAAGAATTAGATCTTAGCCTAGGCTTCTAGAATAGCGTAGCTTAGATAAGTTTAGCTTAAGTTAAGGTAGGCCTCTATAAATTAGTTTAACTTACTAGCTGCGTACTTACGCGGTACGAAAAGACGCTACTAGATACGCTACGCGCGTTACGCTACTAGCTGCAAAGCTAGAGAAATTTATTCTACGTCTTCTCTTTTAAACTTCTATAGCGCGCGCAAATAAAGCAACGATACTACTAATACTTTACCTGCTTTATTTGCTATATATTCTGCGCTTAGCAAGTTTATCTTGCTTAGAGAGTAGAGTTAGAAGAGGTATACAGCCTAACGCTTACGGTATCTTAGATTAAGGCTATGCAATATATATAGGCAGAGATTTATACGCTCTAGGCTAAAGAGTCTACTCTACTAGCTCTGCTAGAGGCGCTTTATAGACTTCTTATTCTTTTCTAGACTAATAGCTCTATAAGTAGTAGGTTAGAGAGTAAAGTAATTATTAACTTTTTAGGTATACTAGGCATTTATCTATTATAATTAGCCTTCCGCACTGCCTATAACTATACTCTATACCTTACTGCTCTAATTTAGGTAGAGAGACTAATACTACTAGAGTACGCTCTATCTCTACGCGTATATAACACGCTTTCTATATCTTAGCCTAACTAATATAAGGCGATAAGGATACATATTCTCGCGCTAAACTAGGCTAAGCGTTAGGGCTCGCTAACCTAGAACAGCGGAATCTAAGAGTATCCTCGTTTAGTATCCTCGCGGGCATTGCTATTTAAATTCTATTATTTTTATACTGTAGATTAACTTTTTACTATTAGAACATATCTTTTAGGTAACAACACTAATAATTATCTACTGTTGCGCGTTGTATTAAGCTGCGGAAAACATAGAGTTCTTGTAGATCGCGCAACTGCCTAACGCGCTAGCTACCTAAGAAATATTAACTACTACAACAACCGCGCGCTGCCTGTATAACCCGCCTATATTACTTAACGTAATTAAAGATATAATATACTATCTATATAAGTATAGGACGCTTATCTATAAGCAGCACGCGACTACGCTATAGAATCTTAATGCGTATCTGCGTTAATATTATAGTGTTAGCAGCTAGCTACGGCAGCAGGTTATCGCGAGTTACAATAATCGCGAATAGATTCGCAACCTGCAAGAGATTTAGCTACCTGTACTACTAGGCCTACTAATTATAGAGCTTAGTACACCGCTAGATAGCTTTTAGTGTGTAGAGAATAAGTGCGAATATATTACTATTAATATTAATAAGTTATAGATATATTAGAAGAGTGTATATAAGCTGCTATAGAATAAGAAGGATAACACTGCGTATAAAAAGATTAAAGTGTAGATATTTTTTTAAGGAAGAGCGCTACGGCGATACTTTGTTGTTTATAATAAAGAGAATAGCGAGCTGTCTATTCTAGGCGAGATAGCTAAGGTTATGTAGGCGCAACTAGGGTAATAGAAGGAGACGAAGAAGATAGAAGAGGAGAAGGCGCAGGTTATAGAGGCAGAAGCGGCAAAAACTAACAAAACGGGCTGGTTTAAGCGGACAGGCTAGCTAGAGCATCTTGCGAACTAGAACTGAAAGCATCTTGCGTATTAGATCTAGCTACCTAACCGCAGCGAGGTAAAGCTATAGTAGGCAGTAAAGTTAGTAGAGCTACTACTTAAGAGGAGTATTAAAGGCTTATTAATACTAGCGCGAGAGTTACAACAATAGGTATAGAGCGCAAAGATGTTAGAGGTAGATATATAGCTGTTAGCTTAACTGCAGAACCTAGAGAGTTAGGCAATATACGTAAGCTACATAGTAAAGTTTATATACTACTTGCTACGCATACTTACTAATAAAGAGCGTAGGATTGCCTAGTTCTAATAGAGTAGTGTAGACAATAGCGATAGCGATATACCTAATAGCGATGCGGTAGAGGATTATAATACTACTTCTTCTAGGTCTAGTAGATCTAGAAGTAAAGCTAATAGTAATAGCTGCCTAACTAATATAAGGCGACGAGGATACGTATCCTCGCGCTGAACTAGGCTAAGCGTTAGGGCTCGCTAACCTAGAACAGCGGAATCTAAGAGTATCCTTGTTTAGTATTCTCGCGGGCATTGCTATTTGAATTCTATTATTTTTACACCGCAGATTGACTTTTTGCTATTAGAACATATCTTTTAGGTAACAACACTAACAATTATCTACTGTTGCGCGTTGTATTAAGCTGCAGAAAACATAGAGTTCTTGTAGGTTGTGTAACTGCCTAACGCGCTAGCCGCCTAAGAAACATTAACTACTACAACAACTGCGCGCTGCCCGCATAACCCGCCTGCATTACTTAACGCGATTAAGGACATAATATGCTATCTGTACAAGTACAGGACGCTTGTCTATAAGCAGCACGCGACTGCGCTACAGAATCTTAATGCGCATCTGCGTTAACATTACAGTGTTAGCAGCTAGCTACGGCAGCAGGTTATCGCGAGTTATAACAATCGCGAATAGATTCGCAACCTGCAAGAGATTTAGCTACCTGCACTGCTAGGCCTACTAATTGTAGAGCTTAGTGCACCGCTAGACGGCTTTTAGTGTGTAGAGGATAAGTGCGAATATATTACTATTAATATTAATAAGTTACGGATATATTAGAAGAGTGCACATAAGCTGCTATAGAATAAGAAGAACAATACTGCGTACAAAAAGGTTAAAGTGCAGACATTTTTTTGAGAAAGAGCGCTACGGCGATACTTTGTTGTTTATAATAAAGAGAACAGCGAGCTGTCTGTTCTAGGCGAGGTAGCTAAGGTTGTGTAGGCGCAACTAGGGCGATAGAAGGAGACGAAGAAGATAGAAGAGGAGAAGGCGCAGGTTATAGAGGCAGAAGCGGCAAAAACTAACAAAACGGGCTAGTTTAAGCGGATAGGCTAGCTGGAGCATTTTGCGAACCGGAACTAAAAGTATCTTGCGCATTAGATCTAGCTACCCGACCGCAGCGAGGTAAAGCTACAGCGGGCGGCGAAGTTGGTAGAGCTACTACTTAAGAGGAGTGTTAAGGGCTTATCGACACTAGCGCGAGAGTTATAACGATAGGTACAGAGCGCAAAGATGTTAGAGGTAGATGTGCGGCTGTTAGCTCGACTGCAGAACCTAGAGAGTTAGGCAACGTACGCAAGCTATATAGTAAAGTTTGTGTGCTACTTGCTACGTATACTTGCTAACAAAGAGCGCAGGATTGCCTAACCAATATGAGGCGACGAGGATACGTATTCTCGCGCTGAACTAGGCTAAGCGTTAGGGCTCGCTAACCCAGAACAGCGGAATCTAAGGGTATCCTCGTTTGGTATTCTAACTAATATGAGGCGACGAGGATACGTATTCTCGCGCTGAACTAGGCTAAGCGTTAGGGCTCGCTAACCTAGAACAGCGGAATCTGAGGGTATCCTCGTTTAGTATCCTCGCGGGCATTGCTATTTGAATTCTATTATTTTTACACCGCAGATTGACTTTTTGCTATCAGAACATATCTTTTAAGTAACAACACTAATAATTATCTACTGTTGCGCGTCGTATTAAGCTGCAGAAAACATAGAGTTCTCGTGGGTC